GGAGATTTTGGTCACTTGATCGGAGTTTACGCGTTGGACAATGTGGAGTCAAGAGTTCAGATAGATAGTCAGGGCTGGTGTTATGGAGGCATCGATATTTGATACAGAGAAGCTTGAACTCTATCTAGCTTTTACTGACAACCAGTGGAGGTCTATGAGCACTGGTGTCATGTGCACATGACTTGGTGTTCTTGTGATGACCCGTGCTGCAGAATTTCGCAGCACCTGTAGCTTAGATACTAGTTTACCACTGATGCCCTGAAGCAAACTGTTGCAGTAATCTTGTCTTGATGTTATTAGACCATGGGCAAGTACCTTTGCAGCTTCTGCGGTTATTAAATGTCGAATGTTGCTGATGGATCGGAGATGATAATAACAGGTTCGACTGATGTGGGTAGCCTGTTTCTCCATGGAGAGGTGTGAGTCCAGAAATACTTCCAGATCTTTAAGGTGGTCACTGAGAACTATTTCCGTATCCGCTTTCAGAATGGATTGTTCTTCTACTCTGGCCAGCTGTTGCTTAGTGCCAGTCAGCATTACCTCTGTTTTTTCTTCATTCAGTTGTAGCTTATTTGTTGTCATCGATGACATTGTTGTTGTCGTACAATCAGATATCCGTTGGAAAGACACCTGAAGGTTCTTGAGTTTGAATTTGTCCATCATTTGTGTATCGTCAGCATATCCATGGTGGAGAAGCTTAAAGTGTCAAGATAGCATCTTACTAGATACTAGATACTAGTATGTTTCTACTCTGAATGCAATGGATGGAGATTTTTATACGAGTTTGTTTGTTCGACTGATTCTACGATACGAGGAATTTACTACTCCACCACGATAGACCGATTCAGTCTGTCAATCTAAACGGGCGCATGCGTCGATTTGAGCCACTCAGAAGACCAGGCGCGCTTTAAGGATTTGTTAGATTTACTTCCGAGGCCAAACGATGCATCTGCAGCGTACCTAGTGCCACATTTTTTTATGTCCCAATTAGGACTTAGCTATCTCCTAATTAGGTGATACTATCTCCTAAGTAGGACTTTCAAACAATTCAAGCATTAACCTACTCAGTGTGTGTGATAACATGCGTCTTGCCGTCCGCCTTGATATGCTTCCGTACATTGTCAAGATGGACTCCATAAAGTCAACATCTCTCCTTCAACTGATGATTCAGTTCTTGTAGCTCATCGACTCCATGAACCAGACACAGACCAGGGGAGTTAGAACATGATCTCATATGTTGGCTGGATTAAAGGGGCTAATTCTAAAATTATTGTCCTCCTGGTGGGACAAAGAGCATTGCAAAGAACATTTAGGCCCACCAGTGATTATAGTGATAGAGACAGACGGTATTGTTCCCTTGACTGTAAGAGGGATCCAGTTTCTAAAATAGGCTTTGGCTGAGTATCCAGCGTGAATATGTATGTACATATAATCTGGAAAATCTGCATATAGATCAAATCTGAACATTGAACATGACTCCTCCCTACTGGATATCAAGAGAAACAATGTAACACTTTACACACTGACAGTACACACGTGGACTGTATGGGAGCCATACAGCCATTTGCGAAATGCACTAAATCACGTAAAGATCGCATGTGGAGCAATTATATACTCTATACATGCTGTTTTGGAGTTTATGTACAGAGTGCATGTAACTGATTCAAACATGAAATCATTGTTCAATTACAGTAAAATCACCACTTGTATTCCAAAACATGATTACCCAGAAAGTGTAAAACCACAGCGGGCTATTAAAGCCACTTGGTCAGAGTAAAATGTCAGTATCTGGGGTGACCACCAGGTCATCGGGGACCCACAGAAGAAAGGAGATGCCGAATGCTGTCTTGGGGAATGTTTTAATACCATTGCTGAAGAGCTGTGTGCAGTTCTTGTAGTGTCTGAGGTGGCGCAAGCGTCGATCAAGAGTATTCCATAGATGTTCAATGGTGGACAAATCGGGTGATCGAGAAGGCTAATGTAACAGCTGAACATTGTTTCGCTGGAGGAAGTCCTGTCAGACACGTGCAATGTGAGGTCGTGCATTGTCATACTCCAAAAATCAAACGCTGACGTTGATGGAAGGAATGACGTGACACTGATCTGGTCTTCTGGCAAAATGTCTGGCTTCCCGTAGACAATTGCGCACTGTCTGGTCGGAGATATGCCGCAGTCCAGGAATTGGATTGTTGTAGATGATGGTGTAAATGAGAAGATGTCTCAACCGGATCCTGGGCGTTGTGGTGGTATCTCTAGGTCGACCTGACCTGTGTCAGTCATTAACACTCCCAGTATTGTCGTATCGGGTCCATAGGTTTGAGATGGTCTTTCTGAACACGCTGAAGTGCCATGCAGGGCTCCAGTTAAGTGCCGTATCAGCGTATGTACGGATAAAAAATACGCACGATGAGAAGGAAAAAATGAGAAAACGTAGCAGATACACACCACAGCAATGCTGTGCGGTCTTAGAATCATTATCAGACGTATTCATCTGCAAAAGTATTGTTTTATTATATATTGACCTGTTTACACAACAGTAGCAATGTTGTGGTGCTTATATGAAACGAAACACAAGAAAACTGATACACCATTACATTCCATTCAGTGCTCTAAATTTACTCTCAGTTGTTACTTTCCCAGTTCTGCTATATTGAAAAATTAAGGAGTACGTACTCTTGATGTTAAAATTTTATCTGGAGCCCTGGCCTTGCCATCCCGTGGTGCGATTCCCGTCCTTGTAAACGGCCAATGGCGTTGTGGCGTTGAACTTCTGTCAGTCTTTTCATTCTCTTGTCGTCTATAGTGGCTTAAAGCAATGCATTTGGAGTATGGTTGATGTGGCTTTTTAAAGCCTACAGTCATAGGCTTCAGCTCAAGGTGATACACAATTTCATGATGCACGTGCATTACACTACAGCAATTCACTACAGGCGTAAGTGTAACGTTACGTTTTTGTTCAGAGTTTCTTTTTACAAACGTTTTGTCGTCGGCAACCATTCCCCCACATGTTGGGATTTAGCATGAAGCGGTCTGTGTCAAACATTTTCCTAAAATTCAAATCTTTCCTATGTATAGTATATATTCACAGCTGCAAACTACTCTCGCGATCTTTTGCTGCAAATTTTGCAACGTTTCTGAGTTATGTATGTATAGCTCAATTAACTCAATGTCACTTCGAGAGACAAGCCCTCCATCTGCGGGGTTAGTGAGTGAGTGAGTTTAGTTTTAATTCGCTCTTAGATATATTCCAGCTATATCACGGCGGGCTGAGGACACCAGAAATGGGATATTCACATTGTACCCACGGGGGAATCAAACCCGGGTCTTCAGTGTGACGAGCGAATACTTTAACCACTAGGCTACCCCATCGCCCTCCGCAGGATGAATTTCAGGGATGTGTCAGGGAGAGTTGGGAGACTAGAAAATATGAATCTGTTTTAATGATCTGAAATAATCACACATGGTTTTGTATTTTAGCTCCGGGATTTGCGCGGACAACTGTCGGTAAAGGAGCGTCAAAAACGAGGTAGGTGTCCATCAAAACATTTCCACATCTGTTCCATCTTAGTTCGTTATGTAAATACACCGAAAATGGATGACTGCCTGAAAACTGTGGTGGGATAAAACTGCCTTTGGGACCGGTTAAACAAATACAGAAACTATTCCACCTCCACACGTTATTGGACGACTGTTCACCACGTGTAAGTTTTGGGACATTGCAGGCTGGGGTAAATGTAGCAAGAAGAAACAGAGCTGCTGTGATAGAGGCCTTGGCCGATAACGAAAGTAAAATGTCGTCAGTTGTATGTCAATGTTGTATGTCAATCCATGCTAACATCACAATTGCGAAAGTGTCATATAAACAAGATCTGTGATGCATAAATTAAAATATGTTTTATCATAAAAGATTAATAGCATATATGAATTTAATTGAAATTTATAACCATTTAAAACTGATTTTCCTATCAACAGAGAGAAGAGATGATGTCCAAAATCTGGAGTTGAAGGTGTGTAGTTCCCGTCGAATTATATGTTATCTTAGACGTAAAAGTCTTAGTGCGACTATGTTGGCCGTTTTCTCTGGGCACAGAGGCCATTTTTGCCATGTTCGGATGTAGTTCTCTTCAGCTCCATGGTCGTTTTCTCGAATTTTGTTTGGGGTCCGTTTTCTCCGTTTCCCAATTCTGTGACGCACTCATTGCATGCAAACAAGGAAAGAATGAGTTTAATGATCCAAAATTTTACAATGACCTGAATGTTCACCCTAATAATCTTATGCCTGTTTTTTTTTACATTTCTTTCCCTAAATGTATAGTAAACGCAAGGCAAATAATGATACAGTTTCTGACTATGAACAATGTTTGATGTTCTGTTTAGATTCAGTGTAGAGTATCAGTTTCAATTCTTAAGTGTATACTATTGAACATAGATCTAGGGAAATATATGCATTATACCACACTGGGTCCCTTGTGAAACAGCACGTGTTAAATAACGAATGAAACCGCATTTCTGATGACCCATTGGTCAGCTGATGTCTGCTCTATATTTAGGCCTACAGGGTTATCAATAGATGTGAGTAGCCGCACAGCAAAACATAACAAACTTGCTTCAGCATTTCACGTCCTTTACAATTTGATAGATACAATGTTCAAACGAAGACTTTCAAGATAAGCCTGCGTGTCTCACTGAGTGACCTGATACAGTGTCACGAGTCAATTGCTCCACTGATAATGTATTTTCCTACTGATTTCATGATCTTACACCCACTTGAAGCAAAGTGAATATTGTCGAAAGTATCCATGGTGTACTGTCAAATATAAACATATGTATCTATATTTTGAATTTCAGATTGAGAAACTGAAAGAGGAAGTGGAAACGATCCAACAACAAACATATGGTATTCAGACTTTTTTATCAGAACTTAAGTGTTGCAATATAATGTGTATTTATTTAAATATCGCCTATAGAGGAAATGACTGACAGATCTGTTACATTTTCAGATAAACGTGAGGACATACAAAACATCGAGAAGAAGGTAAATACAATTCTAACAGATGTATATACAAAGTATAAAGAATATACGAAGTTGTCTAAAGCACGTCTAGAGTTAACAGAGCCAGTCCACAAAATAGTACCATGCCAGGACACCCTACCCTCTCCCACCCAAGTGTGTGAGAATATACAAACATACGTTTGTATTGTAGACATGCAAACATCATGACCATCACCTTTAAGGCCAGGGTGGTTTTTGGACAAGGGCCGTCTTTTATATCAGATCTGCAGACAAATGGTCCCGTCAAAACTTGCTTTTTCCGCCTCCAGAAGGCTAGCTCACTACAAAGTGTTGCCTCTTCTACTGTAGCATACATGGGGAAACTTGAGAGACGTCCCTCAGACAGTATGTTGCTGTCTTCGAAACCTCAAAGACAGCTCTTCCAACGTCCCTGATAACAAGCAATAATGTATTTAGCCTTTACTTTTGTGTGACCAAGTGGGATGAGTCTAACAACATAACACAAAAGAGTTTATCCAGTTCATTCCGTATTCCTAACTTTCTGTGTGATGAAGCACATGGAGCAGCCTCTCAGTATAGCTTCTCTCCCTGTCTGCTCTCACACCCACTCTGTCTTTGTCTTAAACTCTCACGCTCGCTCCCTCTCTCTTATCAGTAGATCTTTCACTCTGGGCCAATGCTGGGGCAGTCCCCAAACACTAACCCATGTGTCTTAAAGGAATCTCTCCATTACCTTCAGTACTTAGGTATAGATAAACCCTAAACATCCTGTTACTAAAAAAGAAATACCATTTTCCTAATTTTATCTGTTGACTCATGCTTATTGCTTGTCTCCTTCCTGGGCTGAAGCGCAACAAGTATTCCATATGGTGGAACACTTGTATCTTCTAATTGAAGCTACCACGATTGGCCTTAAAATGTTGAATAAAACAGACATATGGGGTTGGAAATCTGAAAATCACTACTCACCATGAGAAATATTATCTTATCATGACTCATCTGGCTTGTCTCCTTTTTGAACGCGTGGAAAAAGTGGCTCCCTTCACAGACGCTACTCACCATGAGTTATGCTTCAGTGGCTCTCTCCTCTCGGACTTGGCCCTAGTGGACGGTTGAGAGAGCGCCTGTGTCTTCTTTTCGGCACTATATCCTTTTAATTCTTAGTTATTACCCTATACATTACCTTCCTAGGAGTATCCTTCAACAATATGGTTTGAAATTTATTCGTAATTTTCACTGTTTATTCACGGGTTTGTCTGTGTTTGTTCAGTTGTTTACATTTCATGAAAACCTGTTTTCGTTGTAGATTTCGATTCTCTGCTGCAGACCCGCATTCATTGTGCCCTAGCTGCACAACACCATGCACTTCCAGCTCTCGCTGCAACCTTTGTCAGCATTTAACCAATATTGAATTTAATAAATATGTTTTCTGTGTACTTAGGCGTGCTAAAGACAAATCCAGTCATGGATAAGCCAGGATAAATCAAGTCATGGATAAGCCGGCTGAGTCCCTCACGTGTCAGCTGCTGTCAGACGACCCTCTTCCTTCCAGTGATTCGCCAGAGATGTCCTCGGAGGATGGGCGTGGGACGTTGTCCGCCACTTTGAAGAAGAGGGCTGCCACTTCGGACATCCCTTCATCGCAGACGAAGAAGAAGAAGCCATCCTCTACGCAGAGACAGCCACACCCCCCTAAGACGGCGAGCAGCTCTACGGCAGACGTCTGCGCAGACGAATAGGACTTTCTCGGCCGAGATTGTCCCGATGGAGGAAAGAGGTCTCTATGATGAGCTGCCGCTCATCATCCCGGAGATACATTACCCCAAGAAGAAGCAGGCCTCAGCAACGGTAACATCAGCACAGTTATCTACGCAGTCCGAGGTATCTACACTGACGGCAGATGAGCGATCCCTGGACCATATCGCTACCAACGCAGAGAGGGCAGCTCATCTATCACTGCAGACATTCAACCCAGGGGCCTTCATGCAGCAGTTTCTCGCAGCAGATAATGGAGATGATGGAGAGGCGCTTCGCGCAGGAAAGAGATCAACCAGCCCTGGACACCACCCGCAGAGAGGACCCGGACCTGCACAAAGGACCCACCGCCGACGACACATCGGAGAGGCCTTCCATTGACGACTGCAGATGAACAGCCTTTGAAGGCCATCGGAGACAGGTCTTCAGGGACAATCATCAAATCTCACAGATCGTCAAGGGATTCGCCGAGGCATTCACAAACCAAGAGACGCCGCTTCCACGCCGATCGCCCTACAGACGCCCTACAGACGCAGCTCTACAGGCTAATGTCCACGCAGGTCTCCGTGCAGGTCTCCACACAGGTGTCCACACAGGGCTCCTCGCAGGTCTCCACGCAGGTCTCCGCACAGGTCTCCACACAGATCCCCAGCGGAGGATGATCAACGATCCCAGATCAGCGCCCCTGAAACAGAGGACGATGGCGGTATTATCTTCTCGGACGCAGAGATAAGATATTGGATGGCCAACGGACTGGAGTTAGCGTCACCCTCTAAGGAAGAGAATGCAGCACTCACGTACCTGATGAAGGACGATGATGTCGACACGATCACTCTACCGCCAATTGATCCCATCTCGGAAGTTCCAGAGAACTTGGACGCAGCCTTCAGGAAGGCAACGAAATCCCAGGCGCCGAATATTCCACAGTTCAACGCTAAGAAGTTTTCTCTACACAATATGGACCCCTTCATGAAGGCACAAGAGATCGATGATAACTACAAGGTTATCAACGACGCCCGAACCAAGTCTTATAAGATTGACGACAAAAAGCTGGCACAGATAGAGACGATGTCCAGAAGGATGTTCTTCGGCCTAAACAGATCCAGGGCAGTGAATGAGTTGCTCATCACCAAGTTCAAGGACTCTACCGCAGAGGAGGACCGGATGATCTACTCTGCTCTACTCATGCAGAAGAAGGACCAGCAGTTTATGACGGACCATCTATCATCCATCTCAGCAGCGTTGACGTTGGCGAGACGACAAGGACTACTGGCATCCTGCAACTGGAGCGAACGCTTCACGAAGTCGCTGTACAGAGCCCCATGGTCGACATCATCCATCTTCGCAGGGGAGATTGACGACGTCGCCAAAGAAGTTACCAAAGACTCCAGAGAAGTCCTCATGATCAAGTCCATCGATACACTAGCCAGTATCATCAGGCAGACGTCCCATCGCTACTCGGACAAGTCGAAGTTCGCTGGCATCCAGAAGGCAAGAGACAAGAAAATGAGCACCTTCAGACTAGGGAAGGACTCCTTTTGTCGCCCAGCCGGTAACTTTAGAGGACGACCCGGGTGAGGCAGGGCACCAAGAGGCGCCAAGGATCAGAAACGATAAAGGAGGGGTTTGGAACGACTGGAGTCTTCCACCCCCAGCCGTTCCTGTACAACCTTCACAAGTGGGTGGACGTCTACAAAACTACTGGGAAAACTGGGGAATCCTTCAAGATCCATTTGTATACAGCATCCTAAGAGACGGCAACTCCGCCATTGACAGACGAACCTCACAGCCCACTCGACAGCGAGGCTAAGAGAAGCGGTCACATCTCTGCTACAGAAAGAGGCCATAGAAGTGGAGGACCAGGACTAGCTCTCACCAGGATTCTACTCCCCTGTTTTCCTAGTGCCAAAGAAAAACTCCAAAGAAAAGTTCCGCCTCATCTACAGCATGAGGGCCTTCAACAGAGATTATCTACGCAGACCACCAAAGTTCAGCATGATACATCTACCACAACTCCTACACCTCGTCCCTCCGATGGACTACATGGCCAGCATAGATCTACAGGACGCCTACCTGCATATTCCTGTACATCCGGACTCAAGGAAGTACCTGAGGTTTATACTGGACGGACGACACTACCAATGGAAGGTCCTGCCATTTGGAATATCATCGGCCCCCTGGTTGTTTACAAGGGTGATGAAGCCCATAGTCACATACCTACATCATCGAGGTCTACGCAGTGCATTCTACCTAGACGATGGGATTCAAGTACATCAAGATCCCAAGCATCTCAGACTACAACTGGACTTCACCATCAGACTGCTTACACAACTGGGGTGGCTAGTGAATCTCCTCAAGTCGGACCTAGAACCTACACAGGACCTGCAGTTCCTAGGAATCCGGTTCATCACAACACAGAACCGTGTGTAGTGTGTGGTACCAGAGGTGTGTGATGGCTCAAGATACAACAGACGATCTCTACAGTTCTACATAGTCTCTCCGTGGCCAAATACAACGACAATGGCAGCTCTACTCTCTCCCTGTTGGGTCTCCTCACGTCGCGCAGCAAGACATGACAGCCAGAGGGAGACTACAACTACGCCCACTACAGGTCTTCGTCAATGCTCATCTGGACGACCCGGAACCCTTCGGACTCCCGGACGCACTACGCCCATATCTACTATGGTGGACCCAGAGATCGAATGTTTGCGGAGGCACCTATTTAGCAGAGCCGGAGTGCAAGACGCATCTCTACGTGGACGCATCGCTCCAAGGTTGGGGAGCACATCTCGACGACGAAGTGTCAGCTGGGACATGGACCAAAGAGGAGAAAGATCTGCACATCAACATGCTGGAAATGAAAGCAGTACTAAACGCCATACTCCACTGGACAAACATTCTGGAGAATGCTCATCTGATGGTGCATACGGACAACTCCACAGTGGCGTTCTACATCAACAGGCAAGGATCGACAAGGTCGGCGAACCTCCTGGACCTCTGCTTTCAACTGTTCAGCATAACAGACAACCTGAACATCCACATAAGAGCATGCCACATTCCAGGAGCCAAGAATGTGATAGCAGACGCACTATCCCGTCCAACGCAGCCATCCCCAACAGAATGGATGTTACATCCAGAGATCTTCAAGCAGATCATACAAGAGATGGGAGCACCACAAGATTCAACAATCAACTGATAACATTCGTCTCACCAATACCAGATCCACGAGCATGGGCAACGGACGCTCTAAGCATCTCCTGGGAAGGACTAAACGCTTACGCGTTTCCACCACCAGCTCTAATACCGAGGGTGTTGCAGAAAATCAGCCAGACGAAGGACCTACAACTGATTTTGGTCGCGCCTTACTGGCCAGCGAGAATATGGTTCCCCATTCTCATACAAGAATTAGGACAACCTCAACTGCAACTACCAGAGTGGACGAATCTACTAGTACATCCTCACACAAAGCAGGCGCACGGCAACCCAGAGGTGTTCCGGCTACACGTGTGGACTGTATCAAGGCGTGCTTGAACAAGAGAGGATATTCCGCCAGGGCAGCGAAAGCAGTCACACTAGCTCTACGCAAGTCTACACGCACCTTGTACGACGACAAGTGGCGAAGCTTCAAGACATACGCTGCGAGGACCGGCTTTACAGCCATAAAGGCGACACACCCTCAAGTGGCGGACTACCTTTGTCACCTACGACAAACGAAGCGGTTAAAAGGGTCAACCCTCTCAACTTACCTAGCGGCATTGAGCTCAGTCATCTCCATGAGGACAGGTGCAAAACTGACGAAAGTACCAGAGTTACTGGCCTTACTACGCTCTTTTAAATTGGAGGACCAACAACAGAGATTTAAAGCTCCGGCGTGGGACCTCAACGTAGTTCTACGACATCTCACCAGTGACGTCTACGAACCATTAGAGAGGACATCCTTCGAGTTCTTGACGCAGAAGACGCTGTTCCTGATCGCCTTAGCAACAGCAGCAAGGATGTCGGAAATACATGCTCTGGACTTCGAGAGAACACGATTTGATGAAAATCAAAACACCGTGCATATGGGACTGAGATGAGATGGGAATCAACTGCCAGGTCAACCGGACAGACTATTCCACGTCCCAGCACTATCATCAGTCCTTGGGTCACAGGATACACAGGACATGTTTTTGTGCCCAGTCAGAGCATCGGAAATCTACCTACAAAGATCCAGGAGACGGAAATTCAAGAGTCTTTTCGTCCCGATATTGACAGCGAAGCAGACCTAGGTCTCCCGCACTACGATATCGATCTGGATCAGAACTGTCATACTACGGGCCTACAAAGCAGCAGGACTAGATTCTCCAAGAGCCTCCAACCCACACGAAGTTAGAGCTCTGGCGTCAACACTCGCTCTACATGGGAATTGTTCTATCAGAACGATAATGGATGGCTGCTATTTGAAATCGAACATGGTGTTTGCCAACCATTACCTGAGGGACATCGCCACCGAGGACGTCTCCGGCATTCACCATTTCGGCCTGCTGGTTGTTGCACAACAGTTGACAGTCCCTCAAAGGTGCTGAGACGAAGTCTCGCCCTTTTATCACATGACTTGCAAAAGCCTACACTCGGAAGAGTTCAGCTTTAGAATCTATATGCACGTCTAAGGACAGACTAGCATAAAAGTGATATGACCCAGTACTTGTAAGGATGCTCGTACAGGAAAGGGTCGCTTCTCCACTTGATGCTTGCATCAAGAGATGCAAAATCACATAAAAAATCCACCATAACAATTGTGGTCCCCCCGTCAGTGACAGCTTGAAGTATAGGGTTGCAGTAGCAGCAGAGACTAGCAGTAACATAGAAGTGCCAACAAGAAGTCCCCATAGGAGTGTATACAAGACGTAAATCTCTACATGAAATCCAGAAGTAGCTTGACCCACCACCAAATCCGACGGATTCTACAAGCAATAAGCCTGAGCAATACGTCTGTTTTTTATTGAAGGGAGCTTCAATAGAAGATACAAGTGTTCCACTAACGTTCGCAAGAGGAAGAAGACAAGCAATAAGCATGAGTCAGGATAAGTATAAAATATCAATTTTATTCAGAAAATTACATTTTCCAACCGAAGCGAGGGAAGTACGTTGCCAACGTTTGCTCGCTTCGTTCGCATATAAGAAGACTGGTCATTTTCCCTCTGCTTGCGCAACCCTATTTGCGCTACAGTTTGCCTGTGATGCAATCGACCACTTGTTGATGCTGAAACCTAATTGAGCTTTTAAACATATAACGTGCAATGTATAAACTCACTGAAGTTGGCATTAATCCAAATCCACATTTATACATCATTCTACTCACTCATCCAAAAGACTGAAGGTGGCATTAAAGTGAACGCACACTAAATAGACAAACGATGACACTGAAGTCAACCAACTCATCCACTCACTCATAGTAACATAGAAGTCGATCAACCCACAACCTCACTCACTAAACACAATAGATCGGGTTTGTACTTCTACCTATGCACAGTGTAATCCAACATCCTATGTGGCTAAATATGTAAGATATGTTCCAGATACGTAAGTTGATGGAAGATATTGAACTCGAGAAAGACGAATTAGCAAGTGAGTAGCAAACTACAAGATAGTTTGTCAATTGTGTATCTCAGTTTTAAGAGGAAAAAATGGAATAATGATTTTGTAAGTGCACCCTTTTTAAAGATTATTTTTGAATGTTGTGAAATAGTTGAAATTAAGCATTTACGTAATCACTAAAATTATTTGAAAGCTGACAGCAGTATTTGTTTGTTTATACAGAGTTGGAGAAAAACGTTATACCGGAACTAAAGAAACAGGTAATTAATAAATTCTAACAAATATTTGTTAACATAAAAAGTAAAACATTAATTCTTATATCTTGCTATTTTGTGGGCGTTATGTTTGTATTAACACATGCGTATACAATATAGTGTTGCAAACAACATATCCAGGGAGGAATTGTTGATATTATGACATTGCTTTGTTGTTTGTTTACGGACTGAGTCCCGGTTAACTTCTGTATTAGTTTCAACTGAGGAATCAACCCTTAATGATGTGATATACTACATCTGTGATTGCACTGAGAGGTTGTGTCACATTTACAGATTGAAGAAGCTGAAATAAGACTTGAAGTGCTCAAAGTTACTGTTGAAGGTAGGTTGAATAACTAGTGGACACGATGAATGCTAAATGGTGCCAGGCCAAGTATAATCGGTCAGCAGTCATTAGTTATTCCAACATTTCACGGGATGTTTAGTGGCAGCTATTCTAGCAATGTTCATCATTGAACGGGACTATATAAAAACCAACCAACCCAAACATTTAATGGATGTACTCAATGATTGCTCATAGGAATGTGAGTAACCAGAAACAGGTAAGCAGCTGTCAAACAAAATCAAGGAATGTTAGTACACACAATATTATTACACATCCTTGATATCACAATGGTTACCACCTGCATCTCGGATGTCAATGTTTTTTACCATTGTTATTCACAAATTCATACAGTCAACGGCGATAAGGCCCATACTCAAGTATGAAGTGTACTGAAAACATGTCTAAGGGACAGATCATAATATATGGCTGGTGTGTGTGTGTGAGAGAGAGAGAGAGAGAGAGAGAGAGAGAGAGAGAGAGAGAGAGAGAGAGAGAGAGAGAGTGAGAGATTGATTGATTGGTTGATTGATTGATTGATTGATTGATTGATTGATTGATTGATTGATTGATTGATTGATTGATTGATTGATTGATTGATTGATATAATGAGTCTCCCATTTTGTTCTGGGGAGGTGGGGGGTCATCAATTTTGTACACATGTTTCTTGGGTGGATCAGCAATTTTGTACGTAAAGATATTTAAAAAATATGCTTACAAATATTGGGAGGGAGAGGGGGGTCATTGATTTTGTATATGACTTGCAGGGGGCGTCACTTACTTTGTACATAATTTGTACGGGTGGTCATGCAAAATTGTACATGCTTCTCCATAAAAATCATCCACACACGCGCGCGCACGCACGCACACACACACACCGGCCATAAATCATAACGGCCCTTTATGTTTTTCATTTCAATCTGCAGACACATCAAATGCCATCCCGGCCCTGGAGAAACAGGTACCTTACATCAACAGTTATATGTATGTATTGTGAAGTCACTCAAGAAGACTACCTAAACATAGTGTGAGTGAGTGAGTTCAGTTTAACGCCGCACTCAGCAATATTCCAGCTATATGGCGGCAGTCTGTAAATAATCGAGTCTGGACTAGACAATCTAGTTATCAACAGCATGAGCATCGATCTGCGCAACTTGGAACCGATAACACGTGTCAACCAAGTCAGCGAGCCTGACCACCCGATCCCGTTAGTCGCCTCTTATGACAAGCATAGGTTGCTGAAGATCAATATTCTGACCTGGACCTTCACGGATTTAAACATAGTGTACCTAAACATAGCAGAAGATAGATAGCAATACAATAAGGTTAATGCTGTGGTTTACTGACAATGACATATTCAATTAGAGATCTGAGGACACCTGTGATAACAGTTCGAGTCAGGGAACCTTTCAATACAACCAATCAGGGTTGTAACCTCCTGGGTGCGACTGAGGGAAGAATATCCGGCAAGCATATGTGATATCTTATTTTAATGAGACTGATACTTCGCTAGCACCTGACCAATTTGACAAAATATAGAGTATTTTGTATGCTCCATACGTGTTTTCACAGGATCTACGATTCTGAGACAATTGACTTCAGGTTATTTACTTGTATTAATTGTAGGTGCGGGACCTGATACTTAATCTCACAAAATATGGCACTGATGTAAAAGGTAAGAATATTTTCATGTTCTTCAGGTCAGGTACGGACCAATAATGTCACATGGAAAATACAGCTATGTAAATAGATGAATTAGACAGTAACCACACATGAATATATTTAGGTTGTTTCACGTACTATGCACAAGGAAAATCTTTTGTCTTGTTTTCTATTATTGGCTAATGTCAAGGTATACCAATACTATTCTATTTTATAGCTGAAAAGGATAACATTGCGGAACTGTACAGCTTGGTAAGATTATTACACATGATTTCCTCAACATTTACTTTATGGTTACTATAGAACTTAAAGCACCACGTAGTGTTGGAAAGTCACGTCTTGTTGCTCAGATGAATGCCGCATAATGTGCTAGCTCCCTCCAACTCTTTTATCAAATAACGCTAGACCAAATAGTTCATCCAAATACACTGCATCGTATTTAGGCGCAGGGGGTTTACAGATGATATCTCTTTTCACTATAAAAGACGATGCTCTTGTATTGAAAGTATCAAATAGGTTTTTACTTTGGCTTGATGTTACTGTTCTAACTGGTTTTTGAAAGTTTTCAACCATTTTGTACTGATGATTAAACGCAAGGGATGTCCGAGCGCTGATAAAACAACTTCAAAAAGAAGAAAAACGGAAGAGATAGAGGACTGAAGAGATGGAATGCTTCTTGTGTCCCTGTGGTTTAGAGTAGTCTCAACAATATTAAATACATTTTTGGGGAATTTGTAAACAGATCCCTTCCAGATTTGGCATGTTTCAGCCGCTATCGTAGAACTGTTGGCTGTACAATTTTTCGATTTATTATAAGGTTAGTGGCTGATCATTTTTAGCATGTATTCCCTTTTTGGTAATAGGCTGTATTATTAACAACTGTCATATTGACTCCGTTGATGGCGTGTTCAGAATTATGAAGTCACATTGAGGTGAAGTCTGACCTCGGGTTAGAGCAGATCGTTCTCTCGAATGTGTGTTGACTTTCGTCAGTAGATGGAGCAGATATAGTCCACTCAGATCGTACATTACACTATGTTTCAAATGAACACTAAGAGGTATGATTCTTGTATACACGGTTTCTGTTTACAGGTTCTTCAGTTGGGAAAAGACCTTTCAGGTTTGTTCATTTCATTAGTCAAAGCTGCTTGTTTGTAATATCAGGATTATTCGTCACAACTAACTGAGTAAAACAACCCCAAATAATAAGTTACTGATAATGATGTCGCTGGCCGAACAGCTGGTTTATGTTACACAGGTGATGAAAGTCCAGTGTATATTCTTAGTCAGTGTATTCTTCGTTTTAACGGTTGTTAAATGAAGGAATATCGCATAGACACAGATTCCATTTAAATACAACCGCAAATCATGTCTTTTTCAGATCGGAAGAATGATCAGAAAGCACTCACTGAAAAGGCAGGTTTTTCTTATATTGCATTTTGAAGAGGATTTAACGTGTAAATGTTTTGCCACAGAGTGTCAAACTTTACTCACTCACCCATTCATTACGGTTGTCGACCAGTGCTGTCCCTATTAATGTCAGAGCTCTACTGTTATCTCTTTGTTTTTTTTGTTTTGTTTTGTTTTTGTTTTTTTGTTGTTGTTGGGGGTTTTTTTGTTTTTTTTTGGGGGGGGGGGTTGTTGTTGTTGTTGTTGTGAATATCATGTTTCTAAAATCTGTGGCATACGTAATACACAAATGCAATGCCCATAGTACTGTTTATATTAAACATACGAGTGCAGGGTCCAAATAAATTGTCACAAACGCTCACAGATACCTTAATTTCCGTGCTGAAGCAAATATATCAATGATGGTGTTGACTGAAGTTTCACAATGTTCTGTTGTATCAATTTCAAATCGAGGGGATGAATGGTAGGTGTTTGTATGGCTTTTAAGAGGTGAGGTGAAATTGGGTTTAACGTCGTGCTTGAGAATATTTGGCTCATATGACGACGTGCATGCGTGTGTATGGGTATGTGTGGCTGCTTGTACCAGCCCTGACTTAAACTGGTTTTATAGTGCTAGCCCACGGAGATACCATGCCGCAGTGAAGCATGAATACCCCACTCAGACACATTATACTGACTGCCAGCCGACCAGTCCTTGTTAAACCCATTAATACCAAGCGCCAGGCAAGGAGCTACAAGTACCTTATTTTAACGTCTTTTGGTATGACGCGGTCGGGGATCGAACCCGTGACCTTCTGCTCTCCGGACGGACGCTCAAACACTTACATCACGGAGGCGGTCTTTTTGATAAGAGAGTTATGATAACACTCCCATCTGACTCGTTCTCCTCGACACTCGCTCGCACAGGAAACACCAAGTTTCACCTTCACAGGAATATATTCCAAACATAACACAAACACTGAACACGCCTTTCATCAGTATGTTTTCCCTGGGAATAAGCTTCAAGCAGTACGTTTGCGCAGCACCTCCATGATCAACATCCGTACAGACAATGCTACTGGTTGCAGCGTTAAACAAAGAAAACAAAATCCATATGCAAATATATCATTTTTGAACGATAGACTCCCTGTTGATGACCGATACGAAGTAAAAGATATATGTCTAATCATGAACTCAAGTTTATACATTTGGAATAGTTATAAGATGTGGAGGCTTCCTCATAACTAAATAAATGAATGCAAAATATTATACTAATGTCGTTATAGTTGCAGAGAATAGAAGACGAACAAGCAAGACAAAACCGTCAATTTGAAGGTATGAATAAAACAATGAAAACACAAACAGTTATTTCAGGAGAATATACAGGTGTGAGTAGAATGTTTTGTGGTTATCTACTTGATTTAAATGCCTTCAACCATCATTTTTTTCTCAATGACATGAGCTTTTATGCAACTTGTGCTTCTCTGTCAAGAAGTTTGACTTGAATGAGACCCTGTGATGATAATACACTCTCATTATCTTCAGATGAACGGAGAGAAAAAGAAGAATTACAAAGCCAGGCAAGTGTTACTCCCTCTTTCTTTATATATTGTCCTTTCGTTCATACAGACAGTTGCAGTGGATGCACCGTCGTCAGATTAAGGAGGTGTCAATTCCTGGATATTGTTTGGAAGAATTTGTTTAGCTGACATTATCTGTGAAAGCCTAATCCTGCCACTTTTGTAGCATATAATATTATTGACAATTCTCGTTGCTTCAAATATTTACTTCTTCTTTCGATTAGTTACTCGTTGCTTCGAGAATTTTCTCGTTATTTCAATATTTTTCTCGATTATTTTTTAGTCCATTTCATACATGTATACATATACAAGGTAGACATAAAATGTGGAAACTGTACATATCAATTATCAATAATTTCAGTCACGTTATGCAGGTCTTGGATAAGTGTAATGAATATATAAATGTTTTAACAGATCTGTTCATTTATACTATGAATAATTCACAATGACACTTTATGCAATTAAAATGATTGCTGACAACATCGTGATTGATCATTTTAAGAGCACTTCAAAAGATAATTCAGGCAGTTGTTTCCATTATTTCTCAAGGTAGCTATTTCTATTATTTTTTCTTGCTATCAATTTTCAATTTTACAAATGTCCTTTATTGTTGAATTCAATCTGTTAGTTTAAACTGTTTAAGGCTTGAGATGTAGATAAATGTGTTGGCTATGAGCAAGATATGATCAACTATATGAGTGTTTGAGCCTAACCCAAACATTACACAGTATCTGGCTACTTTCAGATTGTTGTGGAAATGGTTATTAATGAAATTCTCTATTTTCTGTCAGAAACTGAAAATAATCTGACATATTTTCAGAATCAAGTTCACAAAAAGAGCATAGATCATCATCAACTAACTTAATTTTCAATAACTCCCTTTGATTGTATATTACTCTATTAATGAATCTATACTGAAAGTCTAACAGCTTGCAATCATGTGCACATTTCCTGTAACAAACAATGGCTTCCTTCCAGTTGATATTATGGTCAAAGATTCCAGTGTTCTAATATCTTGGGAATGTTATCATTCTTACTTTATTTATCATAAAGAGATCATATCGAGATTAATACTGTTGATATTCAGCTGCAAGAGAGGCAGCATTTGACTTTAGTAATAATCCCAACATCATCAATGAGCAGATGAACTAACACGACTTTAATTCTTAATTACAGATACAAAAACTACGTAAGGTGATCGAGGAAAAGGACGCAAACCAAATCAAACTGGAACAACAACTTAAAGGTATTTCTTGTACGTACAAACTCTACGTTATAAGTGAGGCCATACATATGTCAGGTTCTCAGATGTACATAGGTCTTACTTCGAACATTTCCTTAGATAAACAGATGCACGTTTGCAAATCATCAGTGTAATTATATACCATGTACGCCATCAATCATATTTTTCATTTTAATTACATCATTATTTAAGTCAAGCATAACACACACGCTGCACGCATATAACATGTAAGCACTTTATTTCTTGTTTTAGATGCAAGGACAGCAGCAGCAGAGAGCAAGGTAAATACGACATGTCTTTCTACATCCTTGTGTCTGAAACATACTCCTTTCATGTCAAGTAAATATTCCTCTGTATACTTAAAACATATCAGGTAAATGTTCCTCTGCATACTCAATCTGTCAGGTAAATACTCTTCCAAATACTCAACATGACAGCTAAATAAATACTCCTCTGAATACTCAAGATGACAGGTAAATGCCCCTCTGTATACTCAACATGTCAGGTAAATACTCCTGTATACTCACCATGACGGGTAAATAGTCCTCTGTATACTCAACATGTCAGGTAAATACACAAATGTATACTCAACATGACAGGTAAATACTCCTCTGTATACTCAACATGACAGGTAAATACATCTCTGTATCCTCAACTTGACAGGTAAATACTCCTCTGTATACTCAACGTGACAGGTAAATACTCCTTTGTATACTGAACATGACAGGCAAATACTCAACCTGTCAAAATACATCTCTGTATCCTCAACATGACAGGTAAATACCCAACCTGTCAAAATACATATCTGTATCCTCAACATGACAGGTAAATACTCAACCTGTCAAAATACATCTCTGTATCCTCAACATGACAGGTAAATACTCCTCTGTATCCTCAACATGACAGACCCATGAAGATCCGGGGTAGAATAGGTCTTCAGCAATCTATGTGCTTGTCATAAAAGGCGACTATGCTTGTCGTAAGAGGCGACTAACGGGATCGGGTGGTCAGGCTCGCTGACTTGGTTGCCACATGTCATCGGTTCCCAATTGCGCAGATCGATAGTCCTGCTGTTGATCACTGGATTGTCAGGTGCAGACTCGATTATTTACAGACCGCCGCCATACAGCTGGAATATTGCTGAGTGCGGCGTAAAACTAAACTCACTCACTCAACATGTCAGGTAAATACTCCGCTGTATACTCAACATGTCAGGTAAATACTCCTCTGTATACTCAACATGACAGGTAAATAGACAAATGTAGACTCAACATGACAGGAAAAATTCCGCTGTAAACTTAACATGTGAGGTAAATACACAAATGTATACTCAACATGACAGGTAAATACTCCTCTGTATACTCAACATGACAGGTAAATAGACAAATGTAGACTCAACATGACAGGTAAATACACCTCTGTATACTCAACATGTCAGGTAAATACACAAATGTATACTCAACATGTCAGGTAAATTCTTCTCTGTATACTCAACATTACAGGTAAATTCTTCTCTGTATACTCAACATGACAGGTAAATACACAAATGTATACTCAACATGTCAGGTAAATACACAAATGTATACTCAACATGTCAGGTAAATTCTTCTCTGTATACTCAACATTACAGGTAAATTCTTCTCTGTATACTCAACATGACAGGTAAATACACAAATGTATACTCAACATGTCAGGTAAATACACAAATGTATACTCAACATGTCAGGTAAATTCTTCTCTGTATACTCAACATTACAGGTAAATTCTTCTCTGTATACTCAACATGACAGGTAAATACACAAATGAATACTCAACATGTCAGGTAAATTCTTCTCTGTATACTCAACATTACAGGTAAATACACAAATGTATACTCAACATGTCAGGTAAATACACAAATGTATACTCAACATGTCAGGTAAATTCTTCTCTGTATACTCAACATTACAGGTAAATACACAAATGTATACTCAACATTACAGGTAAATACTCCGCTGTATACTCAACATGTCAGGTAAATTCTTCTCTGTATACTCAACATGTCAGGTAAATACACAAATGTATACTCAACATGACAGGTAAATTCTTCTCTGTATACTCAACATGTCAGGTAAATACACAAATGTATACTCAACATGACAGGTAAATTCTTCTCTGTATACTCAACATGTCAGGTAAATACACAAATGTATACTCAACATGACAGGTAAATTCTTCTCTGTATACTCAACATGTCAGGTAAATACACAAATGTATACTCAACATGTCAGGTAAATACACCTCTGTGTACTCAACATGACAAGTAAATTCTACTCTGTATACCCAACATGACAGGTAAGTACTCACCTGTCAAACTATGCATCATATACTCAACCAGTCGCACTAATCTTGCATCATTACAGGTACAGGAACCTCAGGATGCAGTGGAAGAGAAAACCACCAAGGACAAACACGGAAGGGAAGAAGGAAAGAAAGGTTTGATCTCTATAACTTGTTGAGAACATTATTCTCTGGTTAAATTTAACTTTTACCCAGTATAGTGTGGTCTTGCTTTAATACTGTAGTTTATGTTTCCACATAGACTAAAGGCGTAAGGGAGGTAACTCTATACGGGAGAATATGACAGCTTCTTGTTTGCTGCTGAGGGAGGCAAGCCTTATGCTCTGGCTTGTTCACCTTCCTTTTTACACACACCCACCACAATGAGAACATACAATAGCATCTCTTGCATGGCGAATATGTGGTGTTTCAATCAAAACGTTCTCCATGATAAGGGGATTTCAATATGGGGCTCCCGTGATCTCGGTCACGGTCGCTGTGGTAAACTGCTGCTTTCTCCACCTATCGAATACTCAACACAAAGAGGCATGACTCTGTTTAAGAGACAACTGTTGATGTGCATTCGTGACCCACTCGTGTTATTTCCATTCGTCACCACTCGCCGCTTTCCTTAACCCCCAAGAAGACTCGCCCCGCTATCACTGAAAGTTTTGTGCGAAAATCCGACAAACCAATCAAAACGCATGGAAGGATCGAGGTACTTGAAATATCCCGAGTACTTAAATCGGTCATGTCACGTTATGATTGTTTAAAAAATCTTATAAAATATAAATCTAATGTATAAGAAAATAGTTAACAAAACTGTGTTGCCTAATTTGAAATTTTTAGTAAGCATATGACCACGAACGATGACCGATTCAAATACGGTATTTCCTCTAATAAGCCACGGAGCTCTAATAAGCGATTGGGGTAAAGCAACTCACTCACAATATAACCGTAATGACACAAAGCGCAAAAAGCGCCGGCCGGGCCTCTATTAAGCGCCGGGTCTGAAAGTCCGTTGAGACATTAAGCGCCAGAGCGCCTTATTAGAGGAAATACGGTACACACCTTCGTTTGGATCCAAAATGAGTGCTTTTTCTGACGATCTGGCGGGCCTGCTTTGGAGATTTATGTAAGCCTTCACACATTTGTGGGTAATGTAATAAATAGCCGCGAGTTTCAAAACAATATATTTATGCAGAACTAATCAATTTTAATCTGAAACACCGTGCATACTTGTCACTTCATTTGGGATATTTTAGTCTGACATTTCTTTGGGTTCTTCATATTTGTTTTAGCGTATTCAATTCAAATTTCACTGGTACATTAATTCATGACTGGACTCTCTACGAGTCCTTGAGATTGAGATATGTTTTAAAGTAATTTTTGTGTTCTATTCAGATACTTATAAAAGCATGTTAATACTTTCAACTTGTTTCTTTATTTTGGAACTTTTAAATACACGTTTTAGCTTGTTTAAAACAGTTCAAATGTTTATGTACACAAATAAATCCTCCCAGAGGATCACGAGCCGGTATTCGGCTGGTCCCGGAATAACCAAGTGGGTCACGAATGTAGCTGCTTTTCAAAGATTTTAACTTGTTTTAAGCAATACAATAACTTCCTAAATGACAGTTAGTCCCCCGTTTGACATTCAGACTTTACTTCTGAATCTGTTTTCTTTACGACAATAACAATGCGACAGCCGATACCCTTCTTTCTCACCCAGCCAGTGTTGGGCCACACAGCACTGTTACCAGTTTGAATTGCTCATTGTGACGAACAGTGGAGGGTGTGGGTTCGAATCCCGGATGAGACTCTACCCAAAAAGTACTAGAAAAGTGTAATCCCACATTTAACATATGTTGCTGAGTTACACTTTCAGTCTTGGGAACTACCTTGACTGTTTTATGATATTGATAATATTAAGGAGAAAAGCCCAGACATCTTTTCACTTTTCTTTGTCAATACTGAGGTAATTATATCTTTTGCTGAGAGTATCTTTAATTGACTGGCCAAGGCTCAGAGATTGACTGGCAAATGTTGACGAATATATACAGTTTAATAATGTTGGTCTCGTCGCCATATATGTCTGAGATAATTCCGATGCGAGGGTTAGATCTTTTGCTATGTATACAGTTCAATACTTACTCTTTGAACACATTTCAGTCTGTACTTTTATCCCATCACTCGACCAACTTCACACTGTATAATGATAAACTTCTCCACGTGCATTTCATAATCAACTCACAGTTTTGTTTCTGTTTATAACTGAAGCAATAAATATTCACACATAATAATAATAACAATTAAAACCAGATATATATACATGAATTCGTAGTCAGTAGATTAATAAAACTGTACGGTCATTGAAAATGTCCGTAGTCCTCAGAGTAATTTCTTTATTAAACGTTAGTTCAATCCAACAACGATTGTAACAAACCTTGTCGTTTTTCATCAGTCACAATAAGATTAAAACGAACAAAGATTTGCTCGCTGGCCACTGCCGCAAAACTGCATCTGTCTGTCAAGTTACGTCATGTTGTGACGTCATATATCTTGCACTGGGTCATACCAGGGCAGGTTTTCGGAGAGGCAGAAGTGCGGGGAATGTGAATCTTGTATGAGATGTAATGTCAGGGTAAGTGAACTGAAAATGTGGAGGCAGTCATCATAAACATGGGTTATTGTTTTGTTTGTATGGGGCCATATTTGTTCAGTGTCAAAATTACTAAGGTCGGCTTAGGTTATTTGTAAGTATTTCCGCAAATGTGTATGTTTACCACCCTGGCTGCCGAGGCTTTTTTTGTCTGAGACACATTAATTTTGTTGTCTACTAAATAGTGAACGTTGTGCAGGAATTCAGTCACGTAAAATTTGGTCTACATTTAGATATGGGTTTATGCAGAGATGGGTATATTGGATGTACGAAATCAAATACACACACACGCCTTTTTTACATAGCGACTCTCATGTTTTTGTACAGTGCATGTTCCGAAACACAAATGTCATCTGATCAGCTAGCTATGTCAAACAATTTGGAAATAAATAGGCATAGATCGACCTTTGCTGTTGCCGTCCGGCAACACAGAACCATTGAAAAGTCCTTCAGACCGCTTGATATGAAACATGATGTGATGTGAATGATTAACTGAATACTAGAAAATTGGTGCACTTGCAGAAAGTATTTGCTCTATTGTATTGATAGACAGTGACATCACGTGTACAATGTACAAGTATTTGCTGAATTGTATTGATAGACAGTGACATCACGTGTACAATGTACAAGCATTTGCTGTATTGTATTGATAGAGTGACATCACGTGTACAATGCACAAGTATTTCCTGTATTGTATTGATAGACAGTGACATCACGTGTACAATGTACAAGTTTATGTTACAGTGACACAGAAAGACTCCGACCCCAGTCATGTCGCCGCCCTCCTTGCTGCCTGCCGTGATGGGAACATGGCAGAGGTGAAGCGTGTCCTGGAATTGGGACAGGTGGACATCAACTGTAGAGGAGGAGGAGAGCGCCAGACTCTTGTGATGTGGGCAGCAGAGCGGGGACACAGAGAGGTGGTGGAGCTGCTACTGAGTAGAGGAGCTGATTTGTCACTGGTGGACACGGACGGTAACAGCATCCTTCACTACGCCTGTGGTGGGGGAGATGTGGGGACGGTGGAGTTGATACTGTCCATGGACGTGGTGGACGTCAACTGTAGAGGAGGGTGGAGGAGCCGGACACCGGTGATGGCGGCAGCACTGGAGGGACAGAGAGATGTGGTGGAGCTGCTGATGAGAAGAAGAGCTGATGTGTCACTGGTGGACGAGGACGATAACAGCATCCTTCACTACGCCTGTGGTGGGGGAGATGTCAGGATGGTGGAGTTGATACTGTCCATGGACGTGGTGGACGTCAACTGTAGAGGACGGTGGAGGCGGACACCGGTGATGGCGGCAGCACTGGAGGGACAGAGAGATGTGGTGGAGCTGCTGATGAGAAGAAGAGCTGATGTGTCACTGGTGGACGAGGACGATAACAGCATCCTTCACTACGCCTGTGGTGGGGGAGATGTCAGGATGGTGGAGTTGATACTGTCCATGGACGTGGTGGACGTCAACTGTAGAGGACGGTGGAGGCGGACACCGGTGATGGTTGCAGCACTGGAGGGACACAGAGGTGTGGTTGAGCTGCTGCTGAGTAGAGGAGCTGATGTGTCACTGGAGGACTTGTACGGTAACAGCACCCTTCACTGGGCCTGTGAAGGAGGCGACGTGGGGACGGTGGAGTTGATACTGTCCCGGGACGTGGTGCACGTCAACTGTAGAGGAGACTGGAGCCGGACGCCGGTGATGGCAGCAGCCGACAGGGGACGCAGAGATGTGGTTCAGCTCCTACTGAGTAGAGGAGCAGATGTGTCACTGGTGGACGAGGACGGTGACAGCATCCTTCACTACGCCTGTGAAGGAGGCGACGTGGGGACGGTGGAGTTGATACTGTCCCAGGACGTGGTGGACGTCAACGCCAGGAACAACCGCGGGAAGACAGCGGCCGACAGGGCGAGAGGCAGGGGACGTCATCAACTGTTCGATCTCCTTGAGTCACGTGGTGCTCGGTGAAGTGGTTGTGTTGTTGGTGTAGACAGTGATGATGCTGTTATTGTTTGCAATGTAGGACCAAGTTTAGAATTATTGTTGTGTTTGAGGAGAAAAAAACTTGTTGAAAACATTTTCAGACATTTTGTCATTTGTTTTCATGTGGATGTTTTCAAGATCAGGTAAGAAGATTGTTGACTGAGTGCAATATTTATATACAACATGAAAGTCGACGTAGTGGTGGACATTGATATGTGATTATGTGACAAACTGAGTCACAGATATGTGACAAACAAACAACAAACAAACATCTCGATCCACACTGAGGCCATGGGGCGCCAAATGTACAGTGACGGTGACGTCACAATACCTATGACGTCATGGCTGTGTTACCAACCTGACAGACAGGGATGGGGGAGTTGGTTTTCAGTTTGTTACAAAGAACATAATTTTATTTCTCCTAATGTTTTCTTGATTTGTGGCATCAAGTTAGACAAAGAACACCCGTCTATATAGGTACTCGTGCCGGTGTGTGGTCAACAGCACCTTCGACGTAGGAGACTTGTATATGTGAGCAGTCACACCGGCGACGGAGTCTGACAGGTCGCACATCGGGTTTTCCATTCGCACCTCAATGAACCGGGGAAAAACCCACAGGCAATCCATAATTACATTGAACTTGTCTAACGTGGTAGTTAGCTCTTTCAACACCAGTCAACCAGAGGCATTTACTGCCATGACACCGAGTTCCTAGTGACTCTAAGGTCATGGATGAAGCCTATGTTTATGAAGGAAATTATAAGCTTGTAAAACGTTATTGCTACTACATCTCATACACCATTTAAAAGATGTAATCCCACTGTTGATAAATATAAAGTTTATTTTTATAATATTATTCAAATAATACGACTACAACTTAAATAAATTTAATTTTTAAGGAAAATGCAAGCTTACATATATAATGTCCAAATAAACCACGAAACAAGCAAAAACCATGGCGATTTTTTTCCATTTGTGACATGTCATAAAATGCCCATGCCTTTTTCTTTTATATTTTCATTTTTACATAATCATAAAATTATTATAAAAAGATTTCTTGAATAATATGTATGGTCGCCTATTTCCCGATATCAGTGGCTTTCCGCTCGGTAACATTTTGTGGACCCGCTGCCGATGCATGCGTCCGAGAATCGTTGCGAAAAATAGTTTATAATTTTCATTCTGCCGATAATATATGATCAACTGAAACTTAATAAGTGTTTTCAGACATTGTGAAATGTGATAGATTTAATATTTGAATCAAAAGTCAGGTACGTTCCTAAACTTATATCTCATTTTGATGTGACTACTGCCTGGCTGATTAATTGGCCTCCGATGTCTGGGGACCCATAACGTCGTGGCCGTGGTGTTGAATGGGTTAATTCTGATCCACATGGAATCTGCGTTATCAAGAAAATGCATATCACACCATTAAAGCACCAGAGAGAATATATAATGTTGTACAAACGTATCTTGTTTACATCAGCTGCCTGTCTACCGCTCAGTGTCGTACAGTGATGACGTAGGTGAAATTGGGTTTTACGTCGTGCTTGAGAATATTTCGCTCATATGACGACGTGCATGCGCGTGTATGTATATGTGCGGCTGCTTGTACTAGCCCAGACTGAAGCTGGTTTTATAGTGCTAGCCCACGGGGATACCATGCCGCAGTGAAGCATGAATACCCCACTCAGACACATTATACTGACTCCGAGCCGACCAGACCTTGTTGTACCGACTAATGCCGAGCGCCAGGCAGGGACCAACAAGTACCATATTTTAACGTCTTTTGGTATGACGCGGCCGGGGATCGAACCCGTGACCTTCCGCTCTCCGGGCGGACGCTCTAACCACTACACCACTGAGGCGGTCGTGATGACATAGGTTTCCAATACGCATATATTGTATGAAATAATACAACGTTCTTATATCTTCACAGTGTAACTAATTTGTGTAACATTCCACTTGAGTTGATTATTTTTCAAACAGCGTCTTAAATTATTTCAACAAATGCTAAAAGTATATCTGCCCTTCCCTGCCCTGCCCTGCCCTGCCCTGCCCTGCCCTGCCCGAAACCTTCGATGTGGCTAGTAAGCTCCCTAGTTTGAAATCTCGATGTCCAACAATTCATATCACTGTATAAAGTACATTTCCTTGAGATAACACATAGATGCCATCCAGGTCAAAATGAAGGGTCACTGAAAATTGTCGGTGAGTTAGATTTCCCTCCAACCATTCCTGCTGAAATAGTCCGTGTATTTGACGTCAATACCAAATGGACGGAAGTGTTTAAGATTAGTTCATGCGCAGTCTGTCTTCAAAGTAACGTTACACAGAATAGCTTAGATCAAACATCTGGTTGAAAATCCTGATCCTCCTATCTGGTTATGGCCTGAAAACCAGTTGTAAGATGAATCAGTTTCTACAAGCAAATCTGTCGGGGTACATGGCCTCAGTCAGTCTCCGCATACTTGTTGATTATAAACTCATACATATGACGGCTCTGTTATTCCTTGTGCCATAGTGACTGATTCAGGACAGCCATTGTCCGGGTACACATTTATTTCCAAACACACCCAATTATGTATTTGATGCTAATCGCCATTTTCAATCCTCATCTTCACTACCAAACCGTGCCACTCATCAGTGAGTGTTGTTTATAGGGCAAGCTTACACGAGAATCATCCTTTTTGTCTTGCACTTTTTCTGCATAAAAAGTGTTTGTCAAGCAGTATCAAAGCCAAAAAGTACAGATATCACAAGTAAATTAGGGTTGAATTCTTAAAATATTGTTCAACGTGAATTATTTTTAAAAAAGTTAACTTTTGAAAAGTCGAAGTCATCCATAATGTCGCACAGTGTTACAAAGTTGTTGGATTTTTTTCACTTTAAATGTTTCTGTCAAGAACAATGACTTTCTGGAGTATATGAAACAAACAGTCTCACTGGTCGGGTGGGTGAATCATTAGAAGAGAACTGACAGTGGTAATAAACAAAGCGAACGCTCTGGCCATATCGTCTTGTGTCGATTTTGGAAATTGTAAAGAACAGCAAGACATGGGGATGCCTACTCCTCACGTAAATTTCTTACCCCCCAAATTACTTAAACAGTACCAAATAAGAAGCCCAATACAACGTGTGTTCTATTTTCTCAATCGAGTGCAGATTCGATAACAATTTCGTTGAGTCCCATCGGGATTCGAACCCGCACTGTCAGAGCGAGGCACCTGATGGCTAGCACACAAAGTCAGCGATCTAACCCACTCAGCCACCAATGCTGCCTGTCAAATGGAAATCTGATAACTCGTGGTCTTGATCACGTACTCTGTGTACACCTCCGACATTTCACGAATTGTGTCTCAGTAAACTTCAAATGGCGTATATTTTCATTGTTGACAAATTGTCCTTCATAATTATATCCATGAAATTGTGTCAGTAGTAGCTTACAGTGGTGTACAGAACTGAAAAAAATAAATATTTTGACCAGAATTTAGGGTCTTTACTGAGATTACAAAACTTCAAGCAGATTCATGGAGTTTTCAGAATCCTCATGACATAAACTCCATTTGTATCAAAGACTTTCTGTGAATACTAATGTCAACTACTCGCACTTCGTGCCGTGGCAGCTACTAGGGTAGCCTAGTGGTTAAAGCGGTTGCTCATCACTTGTATCAAAGACTTTCGGTGAATACTAATGTCAACTAGTCGCTCTTCGTGCCGTGGCAGCTACTAGGGTAGCCTAGTAGTTAAAGCGGTTGCTCATCACTTGTATCAAAAACTTTCGGTGAATACTAATGTCAACTATTCGCTCTTCGTGCCGTGGCAGCTACTAGGGTAGCCTAGTAGTTAAAGCGGTTGCTCATCACTTGTATCAAAGACTTTCTGTGAATACTAATGTCAACTAGTCGCACTTCGTGCCGTGGCAGCTACTAGGGTAGCTGAGTGGTTAAAGCGGTTGCTCGTCACTTGTATCAAAGACTTTCGGTGAATATTAATGTCAACTAGTCGCTCTTCGTGTCATGGCAGGGGCCCTGGGGTGGCCTAGTTGTTAAAGCGGTTGCTCGTCACGCCGAAGACGCGGGTTCGATTCCCAATATGGGTACAATGTGTGAAGCCCATATCTGCTTTCCCCCGGCATATCTGGAATATTGCTGAAATCGGCGTAAAACTAAACTCACTCACTCATGACAGCACATTAGAGTCATTCAGTTGTCTGTCTCCAGATTCTATTCATTACATTAATTTACAGAATATAATAAACTGTTCCGTAAAAGTGTTGAACGTTTCTCGTCAATCTTTGTAACGTTTTAACACTTTTTGAAAAGCTATGTTGCTTTACAAAACAGAGCATCTCTACCGCCTTCTGAAACAGTGCCCTGGTCAAGTTTGATGGTGTTGCCTGTATAAGTCGATTGGTTTGCTTGGTGTCCTGACATGAAGATTGTTTACAGTAGATGATAGTTTTGTGACGCCCTGTGCGTGTATCCATATATTATAGACTTTAGACCTGTGTGGTATGCTTGGTGTCCTGACATGAAGATTGTTTACAGTAGATGATATTTGTGTGACACCATATGCGTGTATCAATATATTACAGACTATAGACCTGTGTGGTATGCATGATTTATTACAAGATGAGGTGTAAAATGGTTCGTCGACAACACCAGTCTATGTAGGACACTTTCCATCTGAAATAGAAGAAAAACACATGTTTCGAGTAATCATTCTTTAAGTACACATGGATGGTTTCCATTCTCAGACAACAGAGGCAGAAAATTTTATCCTGTGTGAAAGGACACAATTGCATCCTCGTGTTTGATATTGTGTTGAGGCATTTTGATGCATACGAACTCGCTTATTTCTAACCAATAATTTTTTTACAGGGTCTTTACCCATGATTAATCTCGATCGAATCCTATTGTGAGAAATGACGTCATGGTCGATGATTGCTGACGTCATTCCACAATTGTGTTTCTCATAAAATACCTGTCGTGATCAGTGCCTGTTTCTAAAGTGGAGAACAAAATGGTTAAGAAATAATGAGTAATAAAGAAAGTATTACACTTACTAGTATGTCAAACTAATTTTGCCAAACATGTTTAAGAATTCATGTCTTAGCTCTCGTCTGAGAAATACAAGAAATGTGTTTATTTGTATATCTAGTGTATATCCAGTGTGTACATGGTGTATATCTAGTATATATCCAATGTATATCTAGTATATATCCGGTGTATATCTAGTATATATCCAATGTATATCTAGTATATGTCCGGTGTATATCTAGTATATATCCAGTGTATATGTAGTGTATATCCAGTGTATATGTATTATATATCCAGTGTATATCTAGTATATATCTAGTATATATCCAGTGTATACATGGTGTATATCTAGTATATATCCAGTGTATGTCTAGTATATATCCAGTGTATATCTAGTATATATCCAGTGTATGTCTAGTACATATCCAGTGTATATCTAGTATATATTCAGTGTATGTCTAGTATATATCCAGTGTATATCTAGTATATATCCAGTGTATATCTAGTATATATCCAGTGTATGTCTAGTATATATCCAGTGTATGTCTAGTATATATCCAGTGTATGTCTAGTATATATCCAGTGCATATCTAGTATATATCCAGTGTATGTCTAGCATATATCCAGTGTATATCTAGTATATATCCAGTGTATATCTAGTATATATTCAGTGTATGTCTAGTATATATCCAGTGTATGTCTAGCATATATCCAGTGTATATCTAGTATATATCCAGTGTATGTCTAGTACATATCCAGTGTATATCTAGTATATATTCAGTGTATGTCTAGTATATATCCAGTGTATATCTAGTATATATCCAGTGTATATCTAGTATATATCCAGTGTATGTCTAGTATATATCCAGTGTATGTCTAGTATATATCCAGTGTATGTCTAGTATATATCCAGTGCATATCTAGTATATATCCAGTGTATGTCTAGCATATATCCAGTGTATATCTAGTATATATCCAGTGTATATCTAGTATATATTCAGTGTATGTCTAGTATATATCCAGTGTATGTCTAGCATATATCCAGTGTATATCTAGTATATATCCAGTGTATATCTAGTATATATTCAGTGTATGTCTAGTATATATCCAGTGTATATCTAGTATATATCCAGTGTATGTCTAGTATATATCCAGTGTATGTCTAGTATATATCCAGTGTATGTCTAGTATATATCCAGTGTATATCTAGTATATATTCAGTGTATGTCTAGCATATATCCAGTGTATATCTAGTGTATATCTAGTATATATCCAGTGTATGTCTAGTATATATCCAGTGTATATCTAGTATATATCCAGTGTATGTCTAGTATATATCCAGTGTATATCTAGTATATATCCAGTGTATGTCTAGCATATATCCAGTGTATATCTAGTATATATCCAGTGTATGTTTAGCATATATCCAGTGTATATCTAGTATATATCCAGTGTATATCTAGTATATATTCAGTGTATGTCTAGTATATATCCAGTGTATATCTAGTATATATCCAGTGTATGTCTAGTATATATCCAGTGTATGTCTAGTATATATCCAGTGTATATCTAGTATATATCCAGTGTATGTCTATTATATATCCAGTGTATATCTAGTATATATCCAGTGTATGTCTATTATATATCCAGTGTATATCTAGCATATATCCAGTGTATATCTATTATATATCCAGTGTATACATGGTGTATAGCTACTCACTGTGGCCAGAGGGGGTGGTGCAGACAGCGTGGCCGCCGAATCTGGTGCAGCACTTTTTCTCAGGACAATCACTATGAGCCTGACACCTGCGAGTTAATGGAGACGCACACGTTCCTGAAATAAAACAGTTTGAATATCAAACATGATACATGTATACTAGCGTTTTACTGTCTTCCAACCAGTGTCACGGGGCACTTAAATAACTGATTGACTGACTGACTTTCTTGAAGTTGGTGAGTGAAACCGGGCATATACAGCAAGAAACGTAAGGTTTACACGTGCAATATCAATACTCCACAGAACTTGAAGCTGGTGAGTGAAACCGGACATATACAGCAAGAAAGGTATGGTTTACACGTGTAATATCAATACTTCACAGAACTTGAAGCTGGTGAGTGAAACCGGACATATACAGCAAGAAACGTAAGGTTTACACGTGTAATATCATTACTCCACAGAACTTGAAGCTGGTGAGTGAAACCGGACATATACAGCAAGAAAGGTATGGTTTACACTTGTAATATCAATACTTCACAGAACTTGAAGCTGGTGAGTGAAACCGGACATATACAGGAAGAAAGGTATGGTTTACACGTGTAATATCAATACTTCACAGAACTTGAAGCTGGTGAGTGAAACCGGACATATACAGCAAGAAACGTATGGTTGACACGTGTAATATCAATACTTCACAGAACTTGAAGCTGGTGAGTGAAACCGGACATATACAGCAAGAAACGTATGGTTGACACGTGTAATATCAATACTTCACAGAACTTGAAGCTGGTGAGTGAAACTGGACATATACAGCAAGAAACGTATGGTTGACACGTGTAATATCAATACTTCACAGAACTTGAAGCTGGTGAGTGAAACCGGACATATACAGCAAGAAACGTATGGTTGACACGTGTAATATCAATACTTCACAGAACTTGAAGCTGGTGAGTGAAACCGGACATATACAGCAAGAAAGGTATGGTTTACACGTGTAATATCAATACGCCACAGAACTTGAAGCTGGTGAGTGAAACCGGACATATACAGCAAGAAAGGTATGGTTTACACGTGTAATATCAATACTTCACAGAACTTGAAGCTGGTGAGTGAAACCGGACATATACAGCAAGAAACGTATGGTTGACACGTGTAATATCAATACTTCACAGAACTTGAAGCTGGTGAGTGAAACCGGACATATACAGCAAGAAACGTATGGTTTACACGTGTAATATCAATACTCCACAGAACTTGAAGCTGGTGAGTGAAACCGGACATATAAAGCAAGAAAGGTATGGTTTACACGTGTAATATCAATACTTCACAGAACTTGAAGCTGGTGAGTGAAACCGGACATATACAGCAAGAAAGGTATGGTTTACACGTGTAATATCAATACTTCACAGAACTTGAAGCTGGTGAGTGAAACCGGACATATACAGCAAGAAAGGTATGGTTTACACGTGTAATATCAATACTTCACAGAACTTGAAGCTGGTGAGTGAAACCGGACATATACAGCAAGAAACGTAAGGTTTACACGTGTAATATCAATACTTCACAGAACTTGAAGCTGGTGAGTGAAACCGGACATATACAGCAAGAAACGTATGGTTTACACGTGTAATATCAATACTTCACAGAACTTGAAGCTGGTGAGTGAAACCGGACATATACAGCAAGAAACGTATGGTTTACACGTGTAATATCAATACTTCACAGAACTTGAAGCTGGTGAGTGAAACCGGACATATACAGCAAGAAAGGTATGGTTTACACGTGTAATATCAATACTTCACAGAACTTGAAGCTGGTGAGTGAAACCGGACATATACAGCAAGAAACGTATGGTTGACACGTGTAATATCAATACTTCACAGAACTTGTTTGTCGTCAGCGCAGCTTGATGACGGTGGAAGAATATACAACGGAAATCGTTAAATGAATAAACAAGATGTAGTTTCCATAACTGAAGGGAAGCAAGGCCTGTTTCCACCCGATAATACACGTATACCTTAGTTCAGAGTCATAAGACCACCCGATCCCCAATGTCCAGCTATGAGGCCACCCGATCAACAATGTCTACCCCTAACAACACGGCCATGTGTTACTGACCTTGGTGTGAGTCGGGAGCGTCGGGGTTCGGTGTGCAGGTGAAGCCCACCTCGCAAGCACACATGGCGTCGACGGGGGTGTTGGTATTCGGGGTCAAGTTACAACCTGTAACATATACCATACATAGGAAACTGAAATATATTGTTTACAATCGTGTGAGTACAAGAAAGATACGTTAAAACGCCAGTCAGACAAATCGTGTTAGTATTAACCTCAACAACTGTAAAATAAATTTGAGCTGCAAGTTGAATAGGCGTTAAACATTCTAGGTTTAGATTCGTGTCGTAATTCGTGATTTTTCTCATGGGACGCGTTGGATGTGACCAGTCTGATGTCTGGATGTCTGACACATACCAGGATTCACACGTAGAATAATTATAACGTAGCATAGATATTTACAACTTTCTGACGTGAGTAATAATAATAATAATAATAATGTGTCCATTTATATAGCGCCAAACTCCACACTAGGTATGCTCATAGCGCTAACAATCAAGGCCATTATTACCCCGGATAACCCAAACTGCCTGTTAGGCGCTAGAAGGTTATAGTCATATGACTTTTTTCAACCGGGTACCCATTTTCCTGCTGGGTGAACAGAGGCAATTTTGAACAAACTCACTTGCCTAAGGTGAGACCACATGTATCACATGTGCTTCGTTATGGGGCAGGACTCAAGTCCTAGAAACTGTCAGGAGTCAAGCTGCCAAACACGGTCACCCATCCAATCAGTAAGGTGATTTAACTCCGCTGTGAACAATATGCCAGTCATGTCATGGCGTGTCGACTCTGAGGGGCACGTCCGAAGGGGTGCAGGGCCGACTGGTAATCTGAGTTTATCAACTCGAAGACACATTTGCGGAATACTTTTGAAAATCGTTTTTGACGTTTGTAGGCAATTCGGGAGACAGTATCTGCCTTTGTTAGCTTAAATTCCATATTAGGATAGACTCGTCCTTGTGATAGGTGAGCTACCAAACTTACTGCTTTTCTCAAGGCCGTGAGGCGTACATACTCCTGTCGCACTTCCGGGAGAAGTCTCCTTACAGCATTCGTGAAATCCGCAAACCGCCTGTCTCGTGCAGGGTTTGGACGGACTGTTGCAGTACTGTGTGAAGAGCTCCCCTGAAACAAACGTGGCCTTTCATTAAAAGTTAGCAAAGGCACGATCACTGGATGACGTCATCTTTATGTATTTCTGACAATGCGTGGATGTGATGTCACGTCGTTAGAGGCCGCTTCGAGAGATTTAAACTATGTAGCGATGAAAATGACTTAGTCTAACAGCATAAGGTTGAAATAAAGAAACTGTTCCAAAAGAGTTATTAAAATCAAGTGCACCGATTGTGTGCAGTATTCGTACGGCGTTGTTTTTTTCAATAAGCCGACATTTTGTAATTGTTTATTTATGGTTAAACTAAAGTGGTTTAACGAGAGCACAGGTACTTTTACTCCCTTGGTATATATCAACAGAACTAGCCTGATCGTGGTATGGTCTCTATCTGAAGAAATCGATCAGTGGGTGTCTATCTGAAGACATCGATCAGTGGGTATCAGTAGGGCAGGAAATGTCTACTCACTTATCAAACAAATCCCGGCAGAAAAACGCCACGTCCGGAAGCAGCACTGACCACTCGAACAGTAGGCATCCGTCTGACAATCACCGGACACGCCCTGCTGGAAGAGGAAGATATAGATATAACAGTAGGTGTCCGTCAGACAATCACCGGACACGCCCTGCTGGAAGAGGAAGATATAGATATAACAGTAGGTGTATGTCAGACATTCACCAGACACGCCCTGCTGGAAGAGGAAGATATAGATATAACAGTAGGTGTATGTCAGACAATCACCGGACACGCCCTGCTGGAAGAGGAAGGTATAGATATAACGGTAGGTGTATGTCAGACAATCACCAGACACGCCCTGCTGGAAGAGGAAGATATAGATATAACAGTAGGTGTATCTCAGACAATCACCGGACACGCCCTGCTGGAAGAGGAAGGTATAGATATAACGGTAGGTGTATGTCAGACAATCACCGGACACGCCCTGCTGGAAGAGGAAGGTATAGATATAACAGTAGGTGTCCGTCAGACAATCACCGGACACGCCCTGCTGGAAGAGGAAGATATAGATATAACTGTAGGTGTCTGTCAGACAATCACCAGACACGCCCTGCTGGAAGAGGAAGATATAGATATAACAGTAGGTGTATCTCAGACAATCACCGGACACGCCCTGCTGGAAGAGGAAGGTATAGATATAACGGTAGGTGTATGTCAGACAATCACCGGACACGCCCTGCTGGAAGAGGAAGGTATAGATATAACAGTAGGCATCCGTCAGACAATCACCGGACACGCCCTGCTGGAAGAGGAAGATATAGATATAACAGTAGGTGTCTGTCAGACAATCACCGGACACGCCCTGCTGGAAGAGGAACATATAGATATAACAGTAGGTGTCTGTCTGACAATCACCGGACACGCCCTGCTGGAAGAGGAAGGTATAGATATAACAGTAGGTGTCTGTCAGACAATCACCGGACACGCCCTGCTGGAAGAGGAACATATAGATATAACAGTAGGTGTCTGTCAGACAATCACCGGACACGCCCTGCTGGAAGAGGAAGACATAGATATAACAATAGGTGTCTGTCAGACAATCACCGGACACGTCCTGCTGGAAGAGGAAGATATAGATATAACAATAGGTATCTGTCAGACAATCACCGGACACGCCCTGCTGGAAGAGGAAGACATAGATATAACAGTAGGTTTCTGTCAGACAATCACCGGACACGCCCTGCTGGAAGAGGAAGATATAGATATAACGTATATAGACGTATAAATATAGGTACATGTGGACGTAGAGATATAGGTAGATGTAAACGTATAAATATAGATGCATATAAACGTATAAATATAAGTACATATATATGTTTAAACATAGATACATATGAACGTATAAATATAGATTCATATAAACGTAAAAATATAGGTACATATAGACTGCTTCCATGCGGCTTTTATTCCAAACAGGAGTGGGGAGAGTGAGTGAGTGAGTTGGCTTTTACGCCGCTTTTAGCAATATTCCAACAATAACATGGCGGGGGACACCAGAAATGGACTTCACATTATGTCCATGCGGGCAATCGAAGCCGAGTCTTTGGCACGACGAGCAAACGCTTTAACCACTAGGCTAACCCACTCCCCGGAGTGGGGAATCACTACCATATCCTTCAATATGCAGGGCGGTGGGGGCTCACAGAGGTTGCTCGCTCACCCGGGTTCGATTCCCCACGTGGGTGCAATGTTTGAAGCCATTTTCTGATGCCCCCTCGTGATATTGATGGAATATTGAATGGATAAACGAGAAGGTATAATATATTACAATCACGTCACCCTAACTGTATCCAACTCCCACCTAGCTACAGTTACGCCGTGTCAACAGCACACTTCCCCTATATATACGTAATAGTAGATCAAATGTAAAGAGCGTTCAATACTTACAATGGCGGCGAGAGCTACAGTTGTGAGGATCAGGTAGAGCTCCATGCTGACAAGTTTGGGACTGAAATGAAAATCCTCTCCGCGTCAGCTATTTGTACCCCTAATGATTGATGGATTACCCCCGAGCACCTGTCACTCAAACTTCTCTGTGTGTCACGTTATCACACATAACACTTCTAAGGGAGTTATTTCTATATCAACCCTTCCCATTCGAGAATTAATTGTGGTGTGATAAAGCTAATTAGTCCAACAGGGAAGTATACCTCTGTAACTCATAACTATAAACATCTATTTATGACAGTTTCGAATGGTTTTAATTACCCGAGATGGCGGTTTATGGGTGACATCTACCTGAACATCATTAGGTATCAATGTTTTGTTTTCTCATAAAATATATTCTAAATGAATCAACTGTTCATTATTCTCTTTGTGTTGAGAATCGTTATGAATTCTTTTAATTTCTTGAACAGGACTACCACTTGCGCGTCAAAATCTTGGTTCAGTATGAAAATAAATGCTGAAATGTTTCCACTGTCCAGAGACGAACGTCGTTTGCAATGTGTCACGTTTTATCACTGCCTATTTTGTCAGGTTACTGATCTTGACGTGATCCCAGGGTGTCACTGGGCCAGACGGTCTTAACTACCGGTACACTCAAGCTAAATTAACACAGATATTTGAATGTTCTTGTCAAAGAAGGAACACAAACACCCATATGAAAAATGATCGAATATTTCCAAGAATATTTTTGTTGAAAAATGCTACCTCGTTACATGAAAATCTTTGTAGAACAAAGCCGTAAAGAGTATCATGTGGACTTTGTCAGGGGCTCCTTTCACGAAGCGACCTTTACTAAGGTTAACCTTTACTCCCAGTCTTTAACATTACACTTACAATCACCTTAGTGCTTTGTGAAAGGAGGCCCAGGTCACCAGATGAGTTAAACTTGTCATCTGACCAAACAAAAACAAAAACAAAAACAACCAAATATTTCAATATATTGATTATATATTTTCATAAGAGAAAACTTTTCACGTACTTTATTGAGCAAGAAGTATATTATATTTTTTTGTGTGTTCTATTTATTTCGTGCACATTTCCAGGATCTTCTTTGAGAAGAGCACTTCACTGAAGCAGATTGAAACAAGTTGATAATAAAGTGTTATTTCACCTGATCATAAGCGACATATCCAGTTTATATTTTCAGACAGTTTGTCATACAGACCCTGAAACGAGTATACCTAATACTGCAGCCCATGAAGTCTCCGGGTTCCATTTTATTATTTTTATGACTATCATTTAGGAATAGTTTTTTCTGTAAAATATGTTCATTACAGACACTAGCTGTTTGACTAAATTTCAGATGACAGCATTTTGTAATCACCACATTTACAATACACTTAATATTCGAGTCTGGTCGAAAAATATTTGAAATTAATCAACGCTGATTTTATGGGAGTAATATCTGCGGAACTGTTTATTATAACCTCGAGGAATGAAGCCACGGGCGACACGAGGACAAAATGCACATTCCTAAATAAAATACGAAAACGCGTGAGGTTCTCCATTCATTGTAAACACGCCGGAAAATGACGTCATCATGTTCTTACCGGCACATATGACCATCAGGGGTTCGTCTTAACCTGTCATCTTGTTTACGTCAATTTCATACACCTGTCAATCAAACTAGGTTGCCCCAGGCAACTGCAAGTGACGCATGTTCTCGCAAGTATGCATATTCTGTTACATCTTCACAAGGATGGGTTTTATCTTGTGGCAAACAACCTCTTCTGCATTTTGATTTTAGATATAACAGTTTAAACACTTTGTTGACATGTCGCATTTCTCGATTTAATATTTTGGTACGTTTAGAAGGTGAAGCTAAACAACGGTTATGATTATCACTTCCGGGTCAAAGTTTATCCCATCTGTGACAGGTGATTGATGGAGCGTAGACTGGATGGTAAGTGTTTCCGATTTCAGGCGACGAAACAGGTGTGTGTTCAAGAAACAAAACACGTGTGGGAACACATGGACGTGTGATGATTAAGTGAACTATTCACCACAATCACTTATAGTGTGGGGCCAATCAACCAATCTCTGCAAATATGTGTTTTTAATACTATTCACCACAATCACTTATAGTGTGGGGCCAATCAACCAATCTCTGCAAATATATGTTTTTAAAACTATTCACCACAATCACTTATAGTGTGGGGCCAATCAACCAATCTCTGCAAATATATGTTTTAAATACTATTCACCACAATGACTTATAGTGTGGGGCCAATCAACCAATCTCTGCAAATATATGTTTTAAATACTATTCACCACAATGACTTATAGTGTGGGGCCAATCAACCAATCTCTGCAAATATATGTTTTAAATACTATTCACCACAATGACTTATAGTGTGGGGCCAATCAACCAATCTCTGCAAATATATGTTTTAAATACTATTCACCACAATGACTTATAGTGTGGGGCCAATCAACCAATCTCTGCAAATATATGTTTTAAATACTATTCACCACAATGACTTATAGTGTGGGGCCAATCAACCAATCTCTGCAAATATATGTTTTAAATACTATTCACCACAATGACTTATAGTGTGGGGCCAATCAACCAATCTCTGCAAATATGTGTTTTAATACTATTCACCACAATCACTTATAGTGTGGGGCCAATCAACCAATCTCTGCAAATATATGTTTTTAATACTATTCACCACAATCACTTATAGTGTGGGGCCAATCAACCAATCTCTGCAAATATATGTTTTAAATACTATTCACCACAATCACTTATAGTGTGGGGCCAATCAACCAATCTCTGCAAATATATGTTTTAAATACTATTCACCACAATGACTTATAGTGTGGGGCCAATCAACCAATCTCTGCAAATATATGTTTTAAATACTATTCACCACAATGACTTATAGTGTGGGGCCAATCAACCAATCTCTGCAAATATATGTTTTAAATACTATTCACCACAATGACTTATAGTGTGGGGCCAATCAACCAATCTCTGCAAATATATGTTTTAAATACTATTCACCACAATGACTTATAGTGTGGGGCCAATCAACCAATCTCTGCAAATATATGTTTTAAATACTATTCACCACAATGACTTATAGTGTGGGGCCAATCAACCAATCTCTGCAAATATGTGTTTTTAATACTATTCACCACAATCACTTATAGTGTGGGGCCAATCAACCAATCTCTGCAAATATATGTTTTAAATACTATTCACCACAATCACTTATAGTGTGGGGCCAATCAACCAATCTCTGCAAATATGTGTTTTTAATACTATTCACCACAATCACTTATAGTGTGGGGCCAATCAACCAATCTCTGCAAATATATGTTTTCAATACTATTCACCACAATCACTTATAGTGTGGGGCCAATCAACCAATCTCTGCAAATATGTGTTTTTAATAGAAACAAATTACACCATGTGTTTTGTAAGGGATCCCAGGAGTAATGGGACATTCACGAGTGGAACATTTAGACTTGCTTCAATTAGGTCTTTTATACTACAGAAAAGGGGTTGGCGGAAGACAAAATATAGGTCATGGACTCGAGACAGATTGCATCACAGGAAAATCAGAATTTGACATCAATACCACACTAGATATATATATAGAATAAATTACCCCTGATATCCATTGATAACAAGGGGAAAGACACCTATTTGTGTCGTGCGCCGATAATGAGACTAAAACGAGCAGGAGAAGGTCCAGACTCAAGTTGTTTGAAAATAACGTCGCACAGTAGCATTATTGTTTAAACAAATATATGCTCATGGTATAGTCGAAGTTGTACAATCGACTCTGATTTTAGCAGATAGTTCTTATGAATGTGGAAAGGGTCTTGTCGCTTCTACTGTTATGGTTCTACGTATGTATGATAACAGGGGCGGATACAGCTTTTTGCACACTGTTGAGAAAAGGAGGGGTGCACAATATTTTACCCCTACACCTCCCTCTGGATCCGCCTATGGATAAATAGGTAATGGTTCTGTGGAATTGGGTTGGTTGAACCTCACTGATGACCTCCAGTAAATTACTTTTGTAACGAACGCCGTTATAATGAAGGGGCGGTTATTACGAACTTTTTTGGTCCCGGTTACTTCCGAACTACGGTTATGACGACATAAGTGTTCTCTTTGAGTCTGTGAGAGTTTGCGGCATATGATTATTATAATAGCTATTATGACTGTTATAATACATAGCTGAAACACCTGTGTACATGCAGCATACGTTTCCCTGCAAGTGACCTGGCCCAGTTCGACTGTAAACTCTGTGACACAAGCCTGTTGTTATCAGTTATGACGTCACGCGTGACATAAGTGCAATATACCACGCACAGGAAGGATAAACGTGGATTATATCACAACCCATCGCCATGTTGATGTTTATTGTTCTCGTTTTGGCGGTAAGTTTAATAACCAACGCAGTGAATGAGTTTACATGAACTATATAACATTACAATCAACGAAGACTGTTGTTTAATGTATCAACAATCTTTCTTTTTTCAGTTTTCAGAATTTTTTCAAATAGTGCATGTTCATTTAAATATGTTGTTATAATCTGTCAACAACTGAATCTGAACTAGAAAAACTAGTGGTTGATATATATGAAACTTTTTTCCCTTACACCAAGCCCTTAAAGTAATGTCATAGCCCTCAATTCAGCAAGTCTCGATGTTCCACAGATTCTGAATCGATATTCCCAATTGTGTTTTGTCCTAACAAACTTATACAATTTCCGAGACTAAGCGAGACCAACCTAGCCCCTTAAACCACTGAATTCAGAAGCAGTGAAGATCGCGTAACATGACAGCCAAAGATACTGATAAGCAAGTATTCGCTTCAAAGAGCATGACCATAATGATTGACCTGAAAGTTGAAATTGATAAAAACTCATTAATATGAGGGGTCACATCTGAAGCAGGGTTGTTTGCGTCACATATGTGTCACGAAGTTCCAATATGGCTTCGAGGGGAGGCAGGCGAGATGACCCGTGACAGTAGACTACAGTGGTACTAACCACGTACAGACAGACTGCAAATGGTGCCGTACATACCAATAACTCTCTGTTTACACATACAACAAAATACGGCTACCATGAATGAGTGAAATACCCGACACTGATAGTCCCTCCTAATTAAAAAATAAACTGCTGGGTCCCATGCAAAAGATATAGCCTACACAATGCTTGACGGCCAGGATATATAGCCTACACAATGCTTGACAGTCAGGATATATAGCCTACACAATGCTTGACAGTCAGGATATATAGCCTACACAATGCTTGACGGCCAGGAGATATAGCCTACACAATGCTTGACAGTCAGGATATATAGCCTACACAATGCTTGACGGTCGGAAGATATAGCCTACACAATGCTTGACAGTCAGGAGATATAGCCTACACAATGCTTGACGGCCAGGAGATATAGCCTACACAATGCTTGACAGTCAGGATATATAGCCTACACAATGCTTGACGGTCGGAAGATATAGCCTACACAATGCTTGACAGTCAGGAGATATAGCCTACACAATGCTTGACGGCCAGGAGATATAGCCTACACAATGCTTGACAGTCAGGATATATAGCCTACACAATGCTTGACGGTCGGAAGATATAGCCTACACAATGCTTGACAGTCAGGAGATATAGCCTACACAATGCTTGACGGCCAGGAGATATAGCCTACACAATGCTTGACAGTCAGGATATATAGCCAAACGGCACATAAGGGTGAAATGGTACAGATCCTTATTATTGTTAAAATTACAATAAGTACCCTTTCAGACTTTGCAATTTTTTTATGTCTCTCGGTATCAATAATTAGCCTTGTACATCCAATCTAGAAAGCGTCCTCGTGCTTTAACCATAATAGTTCAAGGAGAAAGTGTGCTTTATTACACTATATATGGTGGTAGAGCCAACTATAGTTCTTAAACATTTCGTAAGTCTTTCGTGGAAGTGGATTAGGTGGTATGAGAAGTAGTTTTAGTCAATATTTAATGCACCTCACCGAACTATCTATAAACAATGGGTACCGTCCACATTCCCAAGAGCCATCACATTAAGAGTGTCTATGCCTGTACCAAGATACGAGGGGAGGTAAAAACGTTTTGAGAACTCACTACCTAAAGTTGTGAAACAGCTATGCCGCCGGTAGTATTGCATACATTGATCATTCATGACATACCCGTGAACGTTTCAACACCTCGCAAAACCCAGTATTAATATTGAGATAACTGGACGAGAGATACCCAACTGATATCATGGAGAATTCTAAAACTGAGTACAGAGCTGTAGTTCATGTCCTCACACTAGAGGGCGCCAACGCAAGCAGAATCCACAAGTACAGTCCTGACCCGGCACCCAGTGATTATAACCTGTTTCGAAATTTGAAGTGTCACTTTCCTGAAAGACGATTTGCCTATAATGAGTGAGTGAGTTTAGTTTTACGCCGCACTCAGCAATATTCCAGCTGTATGAAAATAATCGAGTTTGGACCAGACAATCCAGTCAGTAGCAGCATGAGCATCGATCTGCGCAATTGAGCACCGATGACATGTGTCAACCAAGTCAGCGAGCCTGAACACCCGATCCCGTTAGTCGCCTCTTACGACAAGCATGGCTTACTGAAGATAAATATCCTTACCCGGACGGGTATTGCCAATGATGAACTCAAGGCTACAACAGAATGTCGGTTAAGGGACCAGTCAAAAGACTTCAACTTCCAGGGCATTGCCACCATGCAACACAAATGCGTAAAGTCACAACAAAAGTGTATTGAACTGAAGGGGAGACTATAGTGACAAATAAAAGTTCGAAACCTGCTCTGACTTTTAACTGTATATTAAGTTCTCAAAACGTGTTGACCTCCCCTCGTAGTGTGTTAACAATGTGTTATCCTCAGGTCGCGGTGGACAGCCAGAATCAGTGTGCATCCTCCTCCAACTGTCCGGCGGACCAGTGCTGTGTGGTCATCGTCACCAGGCGGTCGGCGGAGGTGGACAGCAGAGCCCTGACTCTGGGAGTATGTCAGCAGATTGGCGTCGACGGGTCCAGTATGTATGGCCAGCTTCTATGCATCCTTCAGTGTTGACTGCAAAGTGGATATTACCGCCAGGTTCTCAGGGACGAGTGAGGGAATTTAGTATTACCACGCTTTTAGCAATATTCCAGCAATGTCACGACAGGGAAGACACCAGAAATGGCCTACAAACATGTCTAGGATGACTTGGGACTCGGATGATTGTGTCTGTGGTGACTTGGGACTCGGATGACTGTTTCTAGGATGACTTGGCACTTGGATGATTGTGTCTAGGATGACTTGGATGATTGTGTCCAGGATGTGTGGGCATGATTTCCTGTCTGGTAAGATAGGCGTGTCTATGATGATTGTGGGACAAAGAGGATCGTGTCTGTGGTGACTTGGGACTCGGATGATTGTTTCTAGGATAACTTGGGACTCGGATGATTGTGTCTTGGGTGACTTGGGACTCGGATGATTGTGTCTTGGGTGACTTGGGACTCGGATGACTGTGTCTGTGGTGACTTGGGACTCGGATGATTGTGTCTGTGGTGACTTGAGACTCGGATGACTGTGTCTAGGATGACTTGGCACTTGGATGATTGTGTCTAGGATGACTTGGGACTCGGATGATTGTGTCTTGGATGACTTGGGCCTCGGATGATTGTGTCTAGGATGACTTGGGACTCGGATGATTGTGTCTTGGGTAAGTTGGTACTCGGATGATTGTGTCTAGGATGACTTGGGACTCGGATGATTGTGTCTGTGGTGACTTGGGACTCGGATGACTGTGTCTAGGATGACTTGGCACTTGGATGATTGTGTCTAGGATGACTTGGGACTCGGATGATTGTGTCCAGGATGTTTGGGCATGATTTCCTGTCTGGTAAGATAGGCGTGTCTATGATGATTGTGGGACAAAGAGGATCGTGTCTGTGGTGACTTGGGACTCGGATGATTGTTTCTAGGATAACTTGGGACTCGGATGATTGTGTCTGGGTGACTTGGGACTCGGATGATTGTGTCTTGGGTGACTTGGGACTCGGATGACAGTGTCTGTGGTGACTTGGGACTCGGATGATTGTGTCTGTGGTGACTTGAGACTCGGATGACTGTGTCTAGGATGACTTGGCACTTGGATGATTGTGTCTAGGATGACTTGGGACTCGGATGATTGTGTCCAGGATGACTTGGGACTCGGATGATTGTGTCTAGGATGACTTGGGACTCGGATGATTGTGTCTTGGGTAAGTTGGTACTCGGATGATTCTGTCTAGGATGACTTGGGACTCGGATGATTGTGTCTAGGATGACTTTGGACTCGGATGATTGTGTCTAGGATGACTTGGGACTCGGATGATTGTGTCTAGGATGACTTGGGACTCGGATGATTGTGTCTTTGGTAAGTTGGGACTCGGATGATTGTGTCTTGGGTTACTTGGGACTCGGATGATTGTGTCTGTGGTGACTTGGGACTCGGATGATTGTGTCTTGGGTAACTTGGGACTCGGATGATTGTGTCTAGGATGACTTGGCACTTGGATGATTGTGTTATGGGTGACTTGGGACCCAGATGATTGTGTCTGTGGTGACTTGCGACTCGGATGATTGTGTCTTGGATGACTTGGGACTCATATGAATGTGTCTAGGATGAATTGGTACTAGCATGATTGTGTCTAGGACTTTGGACTCATATGAATGTGTCTAGGATGAACTTGGTACTCGGAGGATCGTGTCTGTGCTGACTTGTTTCTAGGATAATTTGGGACTCGGATGACTGTGTCTTGGGTAACTTGGGACTTGGATGATTGTGTCTGTGGTGACTTTGGACTCGGATGATTGTGTCTTGGGTGACTTGGTACTCGGATGATTGTGTCTAGGATAACTTGGTACTCGGATGACTGTGTCTAGGATGACTTCGGACTCGGATGATTGTGTCTTGGGTAACTTGGTACTCGGATGATTGTGTCTAGGATAACTTGGTACTCGGATGACTGTGTCTAGGATGACTTCGGACTCGGATGATTGTGTCTTGGGTAACTTGGGACTCAGATGATTGTGTCTAGGATGACTTGGGACTCGGATGATTGTGTCTTGGATAACTTGGGACCCGGACGATTGTGTCTTGGGTAACTTAGGACTCAGATGATTATGTGATTGTTTCCTAGTGTAGCCAAGGCACAAAATAATGGCTAAAGAGTCACCCTGACCCTATGTAATGTCGTCATAAGCATTCTAAAAGACACTCCTGCATCAATACATACAACCACAAGTTCACAGCGATAAAGCAGACATGTATATACAGAAATAGTGTCTACTGCTTATGTTGTAGAGATAAGGTAAGATTAGAATGTCGGCACATTGGAAAAGTCAGATTCTTTCAAAGTAGTCATGGCACTTTTTGTCTTTTTCTTTAATTTTGCAAAACACTTCCTCCGAAACATGCCCTTATGATAGCATGTCCTTTAGACTGGGTCTGTTTACTGACTGTGTCGGCTGACAATATCAGCAGGTGAGCTACAGGGCTCATGGTTATACTGCTGTGGTCATGTATTCTTCAGACTGCTTCATGGCATCCAACGCCCGACCTGACGGCAAGTACAACCTCCAGTGTCCCTGTAGGGCCGATCATCACTGTCTCTGGAATGGGTTCTTCTCCAAAGGAGGGAGTACCGGTAATATCCCATAATCTTTCCAGCAAATATCACACCAGAAATGGGCTTTAGACGTTGTACCCTTGTGAGGAATCGAACCCACGTCTTTGGCATGACGAGAGAACGCTTTAACCACTAAAGTGGAGGCAGAAAGCCTATTAACAAGAATATCATTTTTGCAACTCACTATCGCAATATCAAACTCAGTTCTTTACAACCAGGCTACTGTCGACCCGGAAGTGCTGTTCCACTGCTGACCCCTGACCTCAATCCAACAGCCAAACAGAGCACGACCCCACCCCCTTTCGCCATTCCCACCCCAATGGTTGGCTAGCAACTTTATGTATCTCGCAACATCACAGTAATAAAACTGTTAAACATTGGGAATTCACATTAGTCTAAAGTTATTTATTCCCAACAACAAAAGAATAAAGTTGTCAAATGTGTTTGATCAAGGCAACTCTGCAGTATGCCGCCTGCCTGTTGATAATCGCGTCTGGCCATGGCAGACCAATAGTTTTCATATATGTGTGCAACAATCCATAAGTTGATGGGGCACCTGTGTTAAACTGCACCATATATCTGTGGGCTAGCACTATAAGTCTATCGCTAACCCGGACAGGTTAGTCATACTCAATAACCCCCTCACCTGTGTGATGACAGATCCCATGCAGTGTGCGAAATAGTTTCCAAATTTTGCTAACCAGTCAGCCTAGCTATGCCTGAAAGGTACTAGCTCACAAAATAATTCACTATCCCGTAGACACAGGTTTCATCATGCTGGATTGCATGCTTCTTGCATGATTTAAAAGTGTATTATAACTCGGAGAGAGTGATATATTTACAAAATGACCCCATGAAAATTCACTAGACAGTCGGGCCAGTGGCTGTTGAGATTTACTGGCCTGCCTGGATTTTTACTAGCCGTGGGCTAGCTGGCATGTGACTATTCTGCACATTGATCCCATGTCTAATAGACACACATATCCTTCTGAAGACAACATAAAGGAACAAGTTTCAAAGACAGAAACACAATCTATCACATTTACTCAGTAATATACACTGTCATATATACACCAGTTTTCATCCATGAATCAGTGAAATGTATCAAGAACATGGGACGATCATGCTGACGACTTAACAGTACTTTTCAACTGCATTTAGGATGAAGTACGTGAAAGTTCTGAAATTATTCTGTGCACATGTGAAACACTGTGATCATTATTTCCATTCCCAAACTGACTTGTTAGTTCTGTACAAGGCACTACAACCAGTCCCAGGCTGACAGGGTTCATCAGTGCTCCAGACGCTGCTGCAGATGTCCTGCATCACAGGGTCCTGCATCAACAGCAGCATCATATTCTCAGATTTCGAAGGAAACACTAAATGACTCCCAGATTCTAGCTCGAGCAGGAACATTTGTTTTGTGGTTCACATTATCACAGTTCCAGTGTGATCAATGTGTAGCTGCTTCATGCTGTCAGCTTCTTCTTCTTCCTCTTCTCCTGCTTTTCTGACTTCTCAATCTTCTCCCTTTTCTCCTGCAGCACACGAGCCTGGAACAAAAGTACAGTGAGTGAGTGAGTGGAAGAGAGGGATGAGTTGGATGTTGTGTGTGCAACTGGATGGCAGCACGTTCAGTAGCCTCCTGTCCCTACATGGATCCCTCCTACAGCCTCCCGTCCATACACGGACCCCACCTACAGCCTCCTGACACAGACTTGTCCCATAGTCTCCCATCAATACATGGACACGTCCTACAGCCTCATGTCCCTACACGGACCCCACCTACAGCCTCCTGACACAGACTTGTCCCATAGTCTCCCATCAATACATGGACACGTCCTACAGCCTCATGTCCCTACACGGACCCCACCTACAGCCTCCTGACACAGACTTGTCCCATAGTCTCCCATCAATACATGGACACGCCCTACAGCCTCATGTCCCTACACGGACCCCACCTACAGCCTCCTGACACAGACTTGTCCCATAGTCTCCCATCAATACATGGACACGTCCTACAGCCTCATGTCCCTACACGGACCCCACCTACAGCCTCCTGACACAGACTTGTCCCATAGTCTCCCATCAATACATGGACACGTCCTAAAGCCTCATGTCCCTACACGGACCCCACCTACAGAGTCCTGACACAGACTTGTCCCATAGTCTCCCATCAATACATGGACACGTCCTACAGCCTCATGTCCCTACACGGACCCCACCTACAGCCTCCTGACACAGACTTGTCCCATAGTCTCCCATCAATACATGGACACGTCCTAAAGCCTCATGTCCCTACACGGACCCCACCTACAGCCTCCTGACACAGACTTGTCCCATAGTCTCCCATCAATACATGGACACGTCCTACAGCCTCATGCCCATACATGGACACGTCCTAAAGCCTCATGTCCGTACATGGATTCCTCCTACAGCCTCCCGTCCCCACACGGACCCCACCTACAGCCTCCTGACACAGACTTGTCCCATAGTCTCCCATCAATACATGGATCCCTCCTACAGCCTCCATGGATCCCTCCTACACACCTCCTGCTTCTGCTTCTTGCGTTTATACATGATCTTCTGGTACAGTCGCTTCTTCTTTTTGGGAATCATCATCTCTGCCAGACGACGCTCCTCGGCCTCCTGTCTCATCAGTTTCGCCTTAACATCCACCTCCTCCACACGGCCCCGCTGCACAGACATCGGCTTTGCTTTCTACAACACAGTCTCAAGAGTGAGTGATTCCGGGTTTTACCAGTTACAAGATAGCGCATCTTACAAACTTGGCTTCAGTAAAGTCCTCGGACTTCAACTGTTCTACATAAGTTCTCTCTTACAGTTTTTGATGATCACAACACAGTGTGTGAGCATCAGGTTTCACGTAGGCAGTCTGTACTACACTGAAATTATATCAGTTAATTGTGTTTTGTGTCTACATATAGTGAATTAGTGACGTGTCATAATACAGTCTGCACCCACCTTCACCTCTGGTTCAGGCTTCTTCTTCTTGGCCTTGCTGGGACTCTCTGCAACAAGGTGTGAGTAAGTGTGTTTAGTATTACGCCACTTTTAGAAATATTCCAGCAATATCATGGCGGGGGACACACACTGTATCCATGTGGGGAATCGAACCTGGGTCTTCCGTGTGATGAGTTTAGTTTTATGCTGCTTTCAGCAATATTCCAGCAATATCCCGGCTGCGACCAACCATTGGAATACTATTGAAATAGTTTTTTTTCTCCTTGAATTGTCTCATTTTAAGTAATTTCGTTGTATGTATAATCGGGGTACAACGCCACACGACCAGGCTTGTAATATGATTGGGATGCAGAGTTAAAGCGTGTGTCAATTAACTTTGCATGTCTTTATCAAAGGCCACAGACGTGTGAACATAAGACCTGTCATGACATTTCCATAGGGTAACCATTTCAGGATGAGAGTTAAATTAAAACTTGCAGCTGACTACCAATGGTGACTGACTAATTTACAGTTCTAGTTATCAACATCACATGGAAGGCTGCTTGTACAAACGTCACAGATGTTCATACAGTGATCTACCAGTCTGACATCTGGGCCCAGGTACACTGGCTGGATGGCTGGTTGGTTGTATAACGCCACACTCAGCAATATTTTTAAGCTATTTGGTGGCAGTCTGTAAATAATTGAGTCTGGACCAGACAATCCAGTGATCAACTGAATGAGCATCGATCTACGCAAATGGGGTACGATGACATGTGTTAACCAAGTCAGTGAGTCCGACCACCCGATCCTGTTAGACACCTCTTATGACAAGCATGGGTTGCTGAAGACCAATTCTAACCCGATCTTCACAGGTCTCCCAGGTATGCAGTTCTAGGTGTTTTAGTTGCTAAACAGACAAAATTCAAAAGTTTATTCTTCTTGTGAAATAGTTATTAATCTTGACCTTGTTCAAGTTCAATAACACCACAGCTGCACAATTTTGTATGTGCTCATGGAACTTGAACCTGAAGGTCAAGGTCAGTATCTATTATTGTACCCTACTGGAGCATATTTTGTCTTCAGTGACCTCACCTTCTTCATCTGAATCTTCCTCTTCATCATCGTCTTCCTCCTCTCCATCATCTTCCTCCTCTCCATCATCTTCCTCCCCAGACTCATCATCTTCTTCTTCATCACTGCGTTCATTGTCCTCACCTTCTTCATCGCTTTCTTCTTCTCCATCCCCCTTGTCTTCATCCTCTTCATCGTCTTCATCCTCATCTTCTGACTCATCCCCAACACCTGGGCACATAGAGTAGGAGTGTCTTAACAGATATACAACACACAGACTGACTGACTGACTGACTGACTGACTGACTGACTGACTGACTGACTGACTGACTGACTGACTGACTGACTGACTGACTGACTGACTGATATATTCAGCAATATTCCAGCTATATGGCGGTGGTCAGTAATTAATCAAGTCTGGAGCCGACATTCCAGTGATGAACATCATGAGTCATACGATGACGTGTCAACCAAGTCAGCGAGCCTGATGACCCGATCCCATTAGTTGCCTCTTACGACAGGCATGGTTACTGAAGACCAATTCTAACCCGGATCTTCACAGGTCCCTTCATTCTGCGGCTAAGAAGGGGAACATATACTCTTCACACAAACTGTGTGGACAGCCATGCCTCCTACCTGAATCAACTCCTTTCTGCTTGTCAAGGATCTTCTGTTTTTCTGGTGGAATGTAGTCCCCTTCGTCTTCATCCACAAATGGTGAGAGATGAGGTGGTAACACTACGCCGATAAAGTAGTCCTCCACTGGGAGGAGCATGCAGGCATTCACACTGTCGAAAACCCACTGGGGTTGGATGTAGTACCTGGGGAAATATACCGTATATATTGTTTGTCGTGTACCCAAATATACCCACTGGGGTTGGATGTAGTACCTGGGGAAATACACCGTATATATCGTTTGCCGTGTACCCAAATATACCCACTGGGGCTGGATGTAGTACCTGGGGAAATATACCGTATATATCGTTTGACGTGTACCCAAATATACCCACTGTGGTTGGATGTAGTACCTGGGGAAATATACCGTATATATCGTTTGTCAGGTACCCAAATATACCCACTGGGGTTGGATGTAGTACCTGGGGAAATATACCGTATATATCGTTTGTCGTGTACCCAAATATACCCACTGGGGTTGGATGTAGTACCTGGGGAACAAGTGTAGAAGTGAGCACAGCTCACATACCCCCCCGCTTCCCACTTTGGGACATGGAAATGACTGATATTGATATATATAATGTGACAAGGATCAGCAGCTCACAAGACTTTCTCCTTGACTCTACTAAACTTTATATACATGTTAGATAATAGTTTTGCCATGTACTGATTACAGTAATAATTTATTTTTGTGTTTTCCGTGGAAACCTGACATACAATTGAACTTGTTGCACTATATGAAGTGGACTTAGATGAAGATTGTTATTTTTTAGCACATGGCATATCTGTGGGTCATGATTAACTTGTGTGTTTAGTTTGGTGAACCTAGCATGTATAGTTTCGATGATATGCTGTGGCCAGGTAACCATCAAACACATTTTGCACCAAGACATGTTTCCATGGAAACAACAACAAAACAAATTCGGAAAAAACTTTAATATAGCAAAAGGCACATCAATGGGTAATGATTAACATGTGTGTGAAGTTGGGTGAACCTAGCATGTAAACTTTAAGAGATATGCTCCGGACAAAACCATCAAATACATTTGGCACTAAGTCGTGTTTCCATGGAAACAGCAAAAAAATAAATAAATCTGAAAAAGAATTAAAAAAGCAAAAGGCATATCAATGGGTAATGATTAACGTGTGTGTGAAGTTTGGTGAACCTAGCATGTAAACTTTAAGAGATATGCTCTGGACAAAGTTTCGGGATGGACGGATGGACGGACGGACAGAATGAACGCTATATACCCCCGTTACTTCGTAGCGGGGTTATAAATATACTGTATATATCGTATATCGTGTACCCAAATATACCCACTGGGGTTGGATATAGTACCTGGGGAAATATACTGTATATATCATATGTCGTGTACCCAAATATATCCACTGGGGTTGGATGTAGTACCTGGGGAAATATACTGTATATATCACATGTCGTGTACCCAAATATATCCACTGGGGTTGGATGTAGTACCTGGGGAAATATACTGTATATATCACATGTCGTGTACCCAAATATATCCACTGGGGTTGGATGTAGTACCTGGGGAAATATACTGTATATATCACATGTCGTGTACCCAAATATATCCACTGGGGTTGGATGTAGTACCTGGGGAAATGTACTGTATACTGTAAACGTATTATATTTCGCGCAGGTTTTATTTTCGCGCTTTTCGCGCAAAACATTTTAGCGCGAAAATTTATACACCGCGAATAAACCTGTCATTCATTCAGTCTAGCCACGCTCGCCCCTGAGTTGTTACCATAACACATCAAGTTTGAAGACAGAAATCTACGGGAATATTAAAATGACTGATAGTAGCATAAAGAATCATACTTAACTGTCGCTGTAATGTATTTCCCAAAACATAATTAAATAATGAGCCAAATCCCATCGCCGAATTAGCGAAAACAGCAATGTGTGTTGTGGCCGCCATGGAAATTGGTCACATGACAGATGGTTTGATACAAAACAGATTACCATGAAACGACTCGGAAAGAAATAATACAGCAGTATTTTATTTATTCATTAAGATTTTATTTACCAGTACATCATGAAGCGAATAGTCACTTAACACTCAATCATCTCATTCACAACAACCCGGCTTGTTTGAAATCACAAAGAGCTTCATATAAAGTAGAAGTTAATTCGTCAGATCGTCAGAATTCGGAACATAAGACTGATGTGTTTTTCAGTCTTCCATGAGTAAACGGATTACTGTGTACTAGTATATCGCACAGATAGGGATTTCCTGTGAGTACGCAATAAACGCCGCCTGACAGGTTAAGCCACTCTGTTTGTTTTCACTGCTATTAGTGGCGGCCAAAGAGACAGCTGGCAGTTCCGGCAATTACTGATTGCGCGAATAATTGACCGCGCGATGTAGTCTAAACTGTCAATTCCGCGAAAATTGCACCACGCGAAAATAAGTACGTTTACAGTATATCATATGTCGTGTACCCAAATATATCCACTGGGGTTAGATGTAGTACCTGGGGAAATATACTGTATATATCACATGTCGTGTACCCAAATATATCCACTGGGGTTAGATGTAGTACCTGGGGAAATATACTGTATATATCATATGTCATTCACCCAAATATATCCACTGGGGTTGGTTGTAGTACCTGGGGAAATATACTGTATATATCATATGTCGTGTACCCAAATATATCCACTGGGGTTGGATGTAGTACCTGGGGAAGGATATGCTATCACTGCTGTGTCAAATTTACCCGATATCTACCCCATCAGACTAGATGTAGGACCTACTTGGGAGGATACAAATGTTGTGATGTAAGTTGTGTTTCTGTTAATAAATTTCATCAAGAGCCACATCTTCAGATATACTGGCCTCGTAGAACTAGGATGCTTGAGCCCTGTAACTTGGGTCCTGTAACTGACTGACTGACTGATTTGGTTTCACGCCGCTTTGAGCAATATTCCAGCAATATCACGGCGGGGGACACCAGAAATAGGCTTCACACATTGCACCCATGTGGGGAATCAAACCCGGGTCTTCAGTGTGACGAGCGAACACTTTAATCACTACATTACCCCACCTCCCCTATTTAAATAAAGCCTTCAGTAGAAAGTCAGCTGTTTACTCACCGAGACAAGTACTGGTTGTCCATCTTGGGTCTGTCAACCACCTGGTGCGTGATAGTCTCATCAGTCTCTGGATAAGTAGCCCCAACAGCGATGGAACTGAACCACGACACTTCTCCTCCAAAACACCTGCAATCAACATATCAAAATGCTAACCACTGAGTGAGTGAGTGAGTCTGATAAACATCTTTTGTAGAGGAATATGATATGTGACATACATAGACTCGTGACCTATATATACATGTATCTAAAGCAGTTAGCGGAGACCTCATGGATGATACTGACAATGAAAGCATTGTTTTATGTGAGCATCAGTTTGACTGTGTGGTCTTTATCAATATCTCAGTAGTGTAGTTGTTTGGTTTATTGAGTAATACCTTCTGCTATCTTTAAATGTTACATGTTTGAGTGAGTGAGTGAGTGAGTGAGTGAGTGAGTGAGTGAGTGAGTGAGTGAGTGAGTGAGTGAGTGAGTGAGTGAGTGAGTGAGTGAGTGAGTGAGTGAGTGAGTGAGTGAGTGAGTGAGTGAGTGAGTGAGTGAGTGAGTGAGTGAGTGAGTGAGTGAGTGAGTGAGTGAGTGAGTGAGTGAGTGAGTGAGTGAGTGAGTGAGTGAGTGAGTGAGTGAGTGAGTGAGTGAGTGAGTGAGTGAGTGAGTGAGTGAGTGAGTGAGTGAGTGAGGTTTAACATCTCTTTTAGGAACACTCCAGCAACATCATTGCAAGAGATGCCAGAAATGGGCTTCACATATTGTACCCATGTGTGAAATCAAATCCGGGTCTTCTTTAACACCAGCATTGCCCCTACCACCTACCCTGCTATGACCTGGAGGTAAATGGTTAGAAATTATTGGTATTTTGAATGGGTAACAAGGCATGCCAACAGTCGGTCATCATGTAGTGCTGGTTATAGTTGTGTATTTGTGGACTGACCTGATGATGAAGGTGAGCGTCTCCCTGGGCACCTCTCTGTTGAGGAAGAACTTGCAGCCTTTAAACAGACTCTGGAGCTTCTTGATGTTGTCTGCTTCCACCTGGGCCTTCTCCACCACGTCTGGGTCATCAGACTGGAACAGTGAGTGAGTGAGTGAGTGTGGTTTTATGCCACTCTAAGCAATATTCTAGCAATATAACGTCAAGGGACACCGACAATGAACTTCACACATTGTACCCATGTTAGGAATTGAACCTGTCTTTAATGTGACAAACAAACTCTTTAACAACAGGTACCCGACCGACCTCCCAGAGAGTGTCAGCCAACCAAATGTGATTCTATGAGAATAACATAGTACAACAGGGATTAACATAGTACAACAATGATTAACACTGGTGACATTGTGGTAAAGTGGGACAAAATGGAATACCATCTTAATCTTTTGGAGCCTCACAGTTGAACGTTTTTTTTATTGTCTTTTCAGAAAAACAAATGCGTCAGCCAAAGCATTCATAATTTCATCATTTCTTGAACCTGAACCCATGAACCTGATTCAGCAGGGAGATCAACCTGGGTTGTGACACTGACATGTATGGTACTGACAACCTATGGAACGAGAGGTGATGCGGAGCTATCAGTCCAACAGTACCGGCACCACTGGGGTGCAGCACTGTCCACCTTTATTACAGACAACATTGTAGACTCCCCAGAACACTCACCACTGCTGTAGGGAAGTCATCGATCAGGTGATCATCCAGGTCTGGACTTCCCACTGTCTGCAGCGACTGAGTGAATGCTGCCAGACGCTGGAAGAGCAACAGATGAAACATCACACACACTGAAGACAAAAAGACACACTGAAGTCAAACATCAGACACCGAAGACAAACATCAGACAAACTAAAGACAAAAAGACACACTGAAGTCAAACATCAGACACTGAAATAAAACATCAGACACTGAAGACAAACATCAGACACACTGAAGACAAACATCAGACACACTGAAGACAAACATCAGACACTGAAGACAAACATCAGACACTGAAGACAAACATCAGACACACTGAAGACAAACATCAGACACACTGAAGACAAACATCAGACACTGAAGACAAACATCAGACACACTGAAGACAAACAGACACTGAAGACAAACATCAGACACTGAAGACAAACATGACACACTGAAGTCAAACATCAGACACTGAAGACAAACATCAGACACTGAAGACAAACATCAGACACACTGAAGACAAACATCAGACACTGAAGACAAACATCAGACACACTGAAGACAAACATCAGACACTGAAGACAAACATCAGACACACTGAAGACAAACATCAGACACACTGAAGACAAACATCAGACACACTGAAGACAAACATCAGACACACTGAAGACAAACAGACACTGAAGACAAACATCAGACACACTGAAGACAAACATCAGACACACTGAAGACAAACATGACACACTGAAGTCAAACATCAGACACTGAAGACAAACATCAGACACACTGAAGACAAACATCAGACACTGAAGACAAACATCAGACACACTGAAGACAAACATCAGACACTGAAGACAAACATCAGACACACTGAAGACAAACATCAGACACACTGAAGACAAACATCAGACACTGAAGACAAACATCAGACACTGAAGACAAACATCAGACACTAAAGTCAAACATCAGACACTGAAGACAAACATCAGACACTGAAGACAAACATCAGACACACTGAAGACAAACATCAGACACTAAAGTCAAACATCAGACACTGAAGACAAACATCAGACACACTGAAGACAAACATCAGACACTGAAGACAAACTGAAAACTCAACTGCTTTATTGATATAAAATACTGTTATGTGACAGCATTCTTCAATGTGTAGCCTTTCTTACAAGGGACACAACTCTGTACCTGTGATCGTAAGGGTCGAGCGTTGGCTCTATATTTAGACGTGTACTAGTTTCAGACAGACCTCTGACATGTACTGCAAGGTATAACAACCTATTGGGCCTTTCCTGCTGACACAGGAGTTGGAGCATCTTCTGCAGCCTTTTCCTTAGATAGCTCTTGCATCTCATCTCACTTTACAGTTACAACAACACTTGTATATTCAGGCTAGATTATTTGACAAATATTGACCAGACAATCCAGTGATTGACACTATCAGCATCTATTTATGACTGACATACTACATACATCGACAAAGCCATCGAATCTGATCATCTCACGTCATTATAAGCATACTTGCTCAAGACCAAAATGTAACCCCTATATTTCATTTTGGTGTTTCCGCCTTTGTCGGCAACATCCCAGCATTCCTCACCTCCTCCCGCTGCTCGGACTCGAGGCACTTCTCCTTCGTGTCTTCTTCATTCTTCTCTCCTTCATTCTTCTCTCCTTCCAGAGCCAGCTGGAACACACACAGTGAGTCAGAGAACTGGATTGGTTGTATCTGGGCCATGTGACCTATCATCACTTACCACTCACACAATATAGTGTGTTTCAACAGGAACGAATGCCTTCCATCAGTGATTATTTTCTTAATGTATATTCAAAAGAGATAACAGCTCATTCACTCTATTGTTCATTTTATTCAGTGAGTGAGAGAGTTCAGTTTATCACCGCTTTTAGCAATATTCAGGGGCACCAGAAATGGGTTCACTTTATTGGCAAGATGTCGCATAAAATTAAGACGCAATGTGCATGTTCACAAAGAAAACAATGGAACAATTGTTCCAATGCTCAGTGAGAACTACTGGATTACAGAATATCTAGACGAGTGTTACAAGGCCGCAAACCAACCTCTGGAGGATAGTGAATGTTGTGGGAGCTGTATAACTTGTAGTTGATGAATCCTAATAACGTTGTGTAGAACTCCACAAATATCTGCATGATTTTGAAGTCAACGTCGGGGGCTTGACCCTAAAAAAATAAAATAAAATGGAAGTGAATAAGATAAGAGTTAAAACAAGAGGACGTGGTCATCAATATCTCCTACTACAGTGTTCTGTTCCTATTTGGTTCCTGTTCAGTAACTCCACAACGACATTCATGTCCTGAAAACACATACCACATTTAGTTTCCTATCTACAACGGTTTCTGAGAAAATACGTCCCCATTTGGGATACTGTGCACTAAGTCAAGCAACGAATGACAAGGGCCACAACTCTGTAACAAATTGCAACGCCATTTCCGTTTTTGAACTCCATCAAGACATTCATGTCCTGAAAACACATACCAAATTTGGCTTCCCTATCCATGAAAGTTTCTGAAAAAATCTGTCCCCATCATTTCGGATGGAAGGACAGATGGACAGAAGGAAGGACCGACGGAGCTCAAACCTATATCCCACTTCACTTCATGGCAGGGGGTAATAAAGAGTTCCTACAGACAGACTAAAGCCTCATATGCTATCACACTTGTATGAGAAATGGTCGACATCAGGTCGACATACACAAGCAGTCATGTCACAACATCTGACCACCCAATCCCCACTTTAGGTTCATGATTTATGTTGATGTCAGCACTATTCCAGCTATGACAGCACTGACCACCCAATCCCCACTTAGGCTCATGATTTCTGCTGAAGTCAGCAATATTCCAACCATGACAACAACCTGTATATATAATCAAGACGAGGACAATTAGGTTAAAACAATCGACCAATCACAGAACCACTTTATGCCAATAGTCTCCTGCTATGACAGACAGTAGCATGCTACAGTTATATACTGAACACAATGTACATATAGTGACGGTAGAACTGTAGACAGTCAAACGAGTGTACCTGAAAGCCGACCCTGTGTGGAGTGACCCACGTGATTGTCTGGCCATGGAATTCAGCCTGGTAGTAGATTCCCTTGATGGAGATGAACACCTAAGGAATAACACAATGTCAATAACACAACCAGTTCTAACACAACCAGTCAAAACACCACTCTGTAATGCGGTGAAATGCCATCTTTAAAGTATGCTACAGGGCGTACCAATTACATAAAATATTCACAAATATATACACAAGTTGACAACATCTTACATTATTAGCAATACTACAGTGGTGAGACATATTGGAGAATGTTTGAAGGAATATTCATTACAGTGAAATCCAAAAATAGTCTCACACAGTACACACCAGATACTCCCAATTCTTGTGTCAAATCTCACTGATGAAAAGAATTTGTTTCAACAAGCTGACACTATTCCTTTGCAATACTGCAATATTTTTCCAATATTCATGTCCTACGATTTTTGCCAACAAGAAAATCCAAAACAAACAAACCTTTCTGAGTGACTTTGATGCAATCACGAAGTGCATGAACTCCACTGAAACAGACAAACACGTCTCAGTCATGTAAGTTTGGTTTAACGCCACTTTTAGCAGTATTCCAGCAATCACCTGCTCACGGCAATATCACCTGCTCACGGCAATATCACCTGCTCACAGCAACATCACCTGCTCACGGCAATATCACCTGCTCACAGCAATATCACCTGCTCATGGCAATATCACCTGCTCACGGCAATATGCTCACAGCAATATCACCCGCTCACGACAATATCACCTGCTCACAGCAATATCACCTGCTCACGGCAATATCACCTGCTCACGACAATATCACCTGCTCACAGCAATATCACCTGCTCACGGCAATATGCTCACAGCAATATCACCTGCTCACGGCAATATCACCCGCTCACGGCAATATCACCCGCTCACGGCAATATCACCCGCTCACGGCAATATCACCCGCTCACGGCAATATCACCCGCTCACGACAATATCACCTGCTCACAGCAATATCACCTGCTCACGGCAATATCACCTGCTCATGGCATATTTTTTTAGAAGGAAAGTACAAACTAATAACACATGTATCAGTGTAATTGTTTATTCAATCAAGCTTGCGACCATCATATTGACTTTCTCTATCAGAATGACCGATATCTGTCAGTGCAGGAAAAAAACAATGGTACGTGAAAGCTTATTTTATTTAGTCCACTTGAAAAAAAATAGTGTCGGTACCAGAATTCAAGGGTCGGTCGGGTAATGGGAGCCACAACATTTCTTTATAGGCCTTACCACTAGGCTACCCCACTGTCCCTTTCCATTAAATACCTGTCCATGATTGCTGATATGTGACGGCCATTAACTAGTTTAGTACAACTTATTATATAGTTATATCAAGACAGTGTATAGTCACCTGTAAAGCCATCATTGTCTATAAATATTATAACTAGAAGCAAAGAACAATTTGCAACTTCAAACATGAAAAATTTATATCAACAAGAAAAATTATCACATAATAATGTGAAAACCGTCAATCTGAATTAAATTGCTCGACAAATCAATATTTCTTTAAAGATTATTATAAATCTCTATGTTAACACTAGGGAGTTACTGCTATTGTATGGCTCTGTGTTTAAGTACACAAGTTACCACAGTTAAAACAACAATATTGGTGTGTGCAATGGCGACCTGGTCTCTATCAGAGTCTATGAACTACCCAGTTGTTATGGTTACCTGTAAGTCTACGACAGAGCCGTATAAACTCAATGTGTGTCTTGGATGACTTGGGGAAAGTGGCGAAGAGGGCACACATGGACAGACAGTCGTCCACATCGCGCAGTGCATCCACAAACGTCGGGTATCTGAAACATGCACCGTATCAGCAACAGGAAACAATGGTAATGTTTTTTCAAACCAAAACTGGCAGTATCATGCTTCTCATCATTTGGTGTGCCTTTTCAACAGTAATTCATAAACGTTTGGTGGACTGGTGTCTAAACTGTGCTCAACAACCCCACAAGGTCCTCAAACCTTACCCACACCCCTCAACACTAACACAACCTACAGCGACACAAGGACCTCGAACCTAACCCACACCCCTCAACACTAACACAACCTACAGCGACACAAGGACCTCGATCCTAACCCACACCCCTCAACACTAACACAACCTACAGCGACACAAGGACCTCGATCCTAACCCACACCCCTCAACACTAACACAACCTACAGCGACACAAGGTCCTCGAATCTTACCCACACCCCTCAACACTAACACAACCTACAGCGACACAAGGACCTCGATCCTAACCCACACCCCTCAACACTAACACAACCTACAGCGACACAAGGTCCTCGAACTTTACCAACACCCCTCAACACTAACACAACCTACAGCGACACAAGGACCTCGAACCTTACCCACACCCCTCAACACTAACACAACCTACAGCGACACAAGGACCTCGAACCTTACCCACACCCCTCAACACTAACACAACCTACAGCGACACAATGACCTCGAACCTAACCCACACCCCTCAACACTAACACAACCTACAGCGACACAAGGACCTCGATCCTAACCCACACCCCTCAACACTAACACAACCTACAGCGACACAAGGACCTCGATCCTAACCCACACCCCTCAACACTAACACAACCTACAGCGACACAAGGTCCTCGAACCTTACCCACACCCCTCAACACTAACACAACCTACAGCGACACAAGGACCTCGATCCTAACCCACATCCCTCAACACTAACACAACCTACAGCGACACAAGGACCTCGAACCTTACCCACACCCCTCAACACTAACACAACCTACAGTGACATAAGGACCTCGAACCTTACCCACACCCCTCAACACTAACACAACCTACAGCGACACAAGGACCTCAAACCTAACCCCACCCCTCAGCACTAACACAACCTACAGCGACACAAGGTCCTCGAGACCTTACCCACACCCCTCAACACTAACACAACCTACAGCGACACAAGGACCTCGAACCTTACCCACACCCCTCAACACTAACACAACCTACAGCGACACAAGGACCTCGAACCTTACCCACACCCCTCAACACTAACACAACCTACAGCGACACAAGGACCTCGAACCTTACCCACACCTCTCAACACTAACACAACCTACAGCGACACAAGGTCCTCGAACCTTACCCACACCCCTCAACACTAACACAACCTACAGCGACACAAGGACCTCGAACCTTACCCACACCCCTCAACACTAACACAACCTACAGCGACACAAGGACCTCGAACCTTACCCACACCCCTCAACACTAACACAACCTACAGCGACACAAGGACCTCGAACTTTACCCACACCCCTCAACACTAACACAACCTACAGCGACACAAGGACCTCGAACCTTACCCACACCCCTCAACACCAACACACTCTACAGCGACACAAGGACCTCGAACCTTACCCACACCCCTCAACACTTACACAACCTACAGTGACACAAGGTCCTCGAAAATTACCCACACCCCTCAACACTGACACAACCTACAGTGACACAAGGTCCTCGAACCTTACCCACATCCCTCAACACTAACACAACCTACAGCGACACAAGGTCCTCGAACCTTACCCACACCCCTCAACACTAACACAACCTACAGTGACACAAGGTCCTCGAACCTTACCCACACCCCTCAACACTAACACAACCTACAGCGACACAAGGACCTCGAACCTTACCCACACCCCTCAACACTAACACAACCTACAGTGACACAAGGACCTCGAACCTAACCCACACCCCTCAACACTAACACAGCCTACAGTGACACAAGGACCTCGAACCTTACCCACATCCCTCAACACTAACACAACCTACAGTGACACAAGGTCCTCGAGACCTTACCCACACCCCTCAACACTAACACAGCCTACAGTGACACAAGGTCCTCGAACCTTACCCACACCCCTCAACACTAACACAACCTACAGCGACACAAGGACCTCGAACCTTACCCACACCCCTCAACACTAACACAACCTACAGTGACACAAGGACCTCGAACCTAACCCACACCCCTCAACACTAACACAACCTACAGTGACACAAGGACCTCGAACCTTACCCACATCCCTCAACACTAACACAACCTACAGTGACACAAGGTCCTCGAACCTTACCCACACCCCTCAACACTAACACAACCTACAGTGACACAAGGTCCTCGAACCTTACCCACACCCCTCAACACTAACACAACCTACAGCGACACAAGGTCCTCGAACCTTACCCACACCCCTCAACACTAACACAACCTACAGCGACACAAGGACCTCGAACCTTACCCACACCCCTCAACACTAACACAACCTACAGCGACACAAGGACCTCGAATCTTACCCACACCCCTCAACACAAACACAACCTACAGTGACACAAGACACATCATGCGTCAGACGGAAAGACCTGGAAAATGATGAAGCTGGATCTCAGTGGATGAAAATGATGCTCACCAAATGCTCGAGGGAACCAGAAACAACAGATTTTTCCTGGCCTAACAAGTTGTGTTTTCATGTATAGTAGAGCATAACGCAACTGACCAAACTACCATTACAGTGACATCGATGATGTTTTCACCTGAACTGTATTGGATAATACATACCTTTCTTTAACGACATGATCCAGTTTGTATTTTGGTCTGTTGGCTCGGATACGACGAACAGCATTTGAATTTTTCTTTTCAATAGCTTTTTTCAATCTCTTCACAAAATGCTGTAAACGATATAAAGAGCATGAAGAGTATTTGTTGATTCTGTGACTTTGTAAGGATAAGATATATGAACAACTTCTTAAAGGTCACATGCAACGTAAAACACAACTTTGCAGATTCTGATACCTTTCGGTATGGACATAGCGAAACAAATCGTCAAAAATGCAAATTCAACTTATAAAGTTGAAAAATAACGCGATGAAAAAAAACGAGCGAAATCGGAGTTCAAACGTTTCACTAATTTTCCCCAGACATTTCTGGAGAAAACGGGTTTCAACAGCTGGGCTGCGCTCATAGCACGTGCGCAAGTAAATAAGTTCGCGTAGCTTGGAAGCGGGTTGTCGGGTGAATACTCGGTGAAGGCTTTGGTGTGAGCTAGTTTTCTAACTGACTGACTGAGTTTAGTTTGACGCCGCTTTTAGCAATATTCCAGCAATATCACGGCGGGGGACACCAGAAATGGGCTTAACACATTGTGCCCATGTGGGGAATCGAACCCGGGTCTTCGGCGTGACGAGCCAACGCTTTAACCACTAGGCTACCCCACCGCCCCAGCTAGTTTTCTAATGTTTTTGTTGATATCTCACAGGCGCGAGTTTTTTATATGTTATGACAGTAAATTTCTCAGTTCGATACTTAATTATGTTTGATTTTTTGGCTGCATGTGACCTTTAATTAACAGTGACGAGCAACGTTTTGATGGACACCATTATCAAGCAAAGTGGAACGTCGTCTTTCTTCTCAAAACATGCTGGACAAAAGGTGAGGTGAAATTGGGTTTAACGTCGTGCTTGAGAATATTTCGCTCATATGACGACGTGCATGCGTGTGTATATGCGGCTGCTTGTACTAGCCCAGACTTAAACTGGTTTTATAGTACTTGCCCACTGAGATACCACGCCGCAGTGAAGCATGAATACCCCACTCAGACACATTATACTGACTCCGGACCGAGCAGTCCTTGTTGTACCCATTAATGCCAAGCGCCAAGCATGGACCAACAAGTACCATATTTTAGCGTCTTTTGGTATGATGCAGTCGGGGTTTGAACCCGCGACCTTCCGCTCTCCGGGCGGATGCTCTAACCACTACACCACTGGGGCGGTCTGCTGGACAAAAGCCTTGTATTAATCTGTTGATAGTATTAACACAAACTGTGGACAATCATAAGCCCCTTCAGTGAGTGAGTGAAGGTCAACAGTTTTTCAGAAATTTCACATCATGTCAGCTAATGCTGGAGGAGTTAGTGAGTGTGTGCTGTTTTACGCCGCTCTCATTTCAGCAATAATGCAGCAGGGGACACCATTAACAGGCTTCACACTTTGTACCCATGTGGTGATAGAAGCCAGACTCTCGGTGTGACAAGCCACAGCGTCAACCACCGTGCTTGTCACTAGGATTATCTGGATCTGCTGCTATTCAACACCAAGTCCCCAAAATCATGTTTGGGTTTTGTTGTGTGTAACCTGTATTTTGCTGTTAACAGAACCAACATAATGTCAGAGGTTTTAATGTTTAGTTTTATGTAATGGCATTGAATACAAAACAAAGTATCTTTACAATACCAAATACCTGTATTTTACAATACGTAATACCTGTATTTTACAATACCAAATACCTGTATTTTATAATACCAAATACCTGTACTTTACAATACCAAATACCTGTATTTTACGATACCAAATACCTGTATTTTACAATACTGAATACCTGTATTTTACAATACTAAATTACCTGTATTTTACAATACTAAATACCTGTATTTTACAATACTAAATACCTGTATTTTACAATACTAAATTACCTGTATTTTACAATACGAAATACCTGTATTTTACGATACCAAATACCTGTATTTTACAATACCAAATACCTGTATTTTACAATACCAAATACGATACCAAATAACTGTATTTTACGACACCACATACCTGTATTTTACAATACTAAATACCTGTATCTGTATTTTATAATACCAAATACCTGTATTTTACAATACCAAATACCTGTATTTTACGATACCAAATACCTGTATTTTACAATACTGAATACCTGTATTTTACAATACTAAATTACCTGTATTTTACAATACTAAATACCTGTATTTTACAATACTAAATACCTGTATTTTACAATACTAAATTACCTGTATTTTACAATACGAAATACCTGTATTTTACGATACCAAATACCTGTATTTTACAATACCAAATACCTGTATTTTACAATACCAAATACGATACCAAATACCTGTATTTTACGACACCACATACCTGTATTTTACAATACTAAATACCTGTATTTTACAATACTAAATTACCTGTATTTTACAATACCAAATACCTGTATATTACATACCAAATACCTGTATTTTACAATACTAAATTACCTGTATTTTACGATACCAAATACCTGTATTTTACAATACCAAATACCTGTATTTTACGATACCAAATACCTGTATTTTACAATACCAAATACCTGTATTTTACAGTACCAAATTACCTGTATTTTACAATACCAAATACCTGTATCTTACGACACCAAATACCTGTATTTTACAATACCAAATTAACTCTACTTTTTAATGCTGGTCTTATGACCCGCAGCTTCCTGGAGATGTGAACAAGGTAATCCCATGGACGTCTTGGACTCAGAATGCTGCATGGTCCTTGTACAGATTACTACAGGACTTCAGGTGAAACTGAATGTGGTCTAACCTTGATTTGAAGTTTATTGCACTAGTACAGTGATGTAATGAACCTGTGGCTTGTGCTAGTCCAGACAAATTCTGAATGTAAATGCTAGCATCGAGATGCCAAATGGCTGTTTAACATGGAAAATGCACAGAGAGAAAGTAAATTTACTTTGAGCCGAAGATGACTTTATCATGTTTATTCCCATAAAACAAGTCCCAAAACAACTGAGTGAGTGAGTGAGTTTAGTTTTACGCCACACTCAGCAATATTCCAGCCATATGGCGGTGGTCTGTTAATAATCGAGTCTGGACCAGACAATCCAGTGATCAACAGCATGGACATCGACCTGCGCAATGGGAAACCGATGACATGTGTCAACCATGTCAGCAAGCCTGACCACCCAATCCCATTAGTCGCCTCTTACGACAAGCATGGGTTACTGAAGATCAATACTCTAACCCAGACATTCACAGGTGCCCAAAACAACTGGTACCACACTAAACCTCTGATGGTGTGAAGCAGCTCTATCTACTAGACCGATGAGGAGTGATTATTAGATGAAGCTTCATAAATGAACCAGTGTTGAACCAGGTAACTGTATTCTATCCTCACCTTCGTCTCCCGGAACTTGTTGATGATTGGTTCATGTGACAGGAACTGGATGTCTTTGACAAAGTAGAATGTTTTGGGTGCAGTGCTTCCTTTGTTGGCCCTCTTCTTGTGCTTAGGTTCATGGGGGTAGATGCCCTTGAGGATACACAAGCGTCTGTGACAGAGATAAATATAAATTCTGATCAGCAGGGGTTACCACGGTTACTCAACTTATTGGGTATTGTAGAGCTGACACGGTTACTTACAACTAGAACTGAACCAGTTTTATCACTCACATATACGCTGTTGTATCACGTGGTTCTCTCAGTTACTGCACACACTGACTCGACTCACTAATTACATGGACATGTATACCAATACTGAACTAAGATTAAATTGTCTTTGTGACAATACACATCCAGCGTTCAAAATTAACGTCGGTCCTTAGGCCCAAAGCCAACTGAAAAACACTTGGACATTTATTTTCTGAAGGTCCTCATGGCTGACAGCTTTTTCATCCCCTATAACTAACAGTGGTGGAAATGACTTTAAAATTGCTAGTGTACTCCGGAACAGTGGCACATGTAAACTCACTTGCCCTGATAATTTTTCCACTATACCGGCCGTTTTCTTGTTGATTTTTTAAAATAAACAACATTAAATATTAACATTGGAAAGTCAACTGGACACCGATACAGCGTGATATACAAATTTGCTTGCCCGACAGAAAGAAACACTGGACTCGGACATAAGGCAATGGGTTATTTCCACCCCTGAACTAAGAGTATTATTTTTCAGAAACTATCATTCAGTAAATTCTAGTTTTTATCTCAATCAGCAGCTGTTGTCTGCAAGTGAAAAGACTATCACTTTCAAGGAAGCAATTTACATTACAGACTTTTCAGAAGACTTGGATCTTGACACGGATGTTGATTTTGTTGTAAATGAAGACAAGTCAGTCACTAGAGTTAAATCAAACCCTTTAACTTAGTCTGTTAGTCGTCACAGATTTTGATTGTTAGGAATTACTTATATTGTAGCTAAAATATAGGGCCCACATATTCTGATCAGGACCCACAAATAAGAAAATTTCTTCGGGTTTTTAATGAAACACCTGACACAAACACATTTCTTGTATGACCATGATGACTGGATTTACGCCACTTTTAGAATATCACGATGGGGGACACCATAAATGGGCTTCACACATTGTGACCATTCTTGCATGAACTTTAACATTGCCACAAATGGTTACAATTAGTGCCAAGCCTGACAAATACGAGTTGCTCAAAACTCACTGGGCAAAAGATGATGTATGGTGCTAATTTATTCTTTGAAAAAGGTGTAGTTTGTTTATATCATGATAAAAGGGAACAGTAAAACAGAGTGAAGACTCTAATTAACGAACATTCTACCATTTGCACTTACTTTGTACATAAATTTTAGGGGAGGGTCATTCTCATTGTACATTCTTCCCCATAGAAATGATCATCTACCCCCCCTAGCCATAAATTATGAAAGGTCCCTTATCATGCTTATAAACTGATATGTACTCTAATTGTAGCAAGTCATCTGTCTGATCACACCCTGCTACAAGCACAATGTGTGATCATGGTGATAGGATTCCTGCCACAGACTCTCATGATCAAAGAAGCTGATACAGTTATGGAACTGATGAGGTGATGATGTCATCTGTGGGATGGCATTACACCCTTTCACAAACATAGGTTTCGGCTTACTAGGTAAGGAAGACATCTATGTGTAATACCATCTCCAGTGACAGTATTCCACAAATTGGCACCTTTTCCTATCTCACTTCTCAGGCATGAAGAATATCTGCAGTGTAGGAAAGATAGGCTAGATTTTAGCAGGACTGGTAAAAAATTTGACCTGCCAGTCCTATGGACAGGCTAGATTTTCTACATCTTTCCTACACTGATATCTGGAGAGCTTAGAACGGTAAACTGCATTATAACCGAGATCTTTTTTCACCTGAAATCTGGGAGGCTGAGCTGTAACTTCTTGATGGCCTTGTTCCTAGACATGTAGGCAGTGGCCGTTCCGCTTTCATACTGAAATCAACGAGAATTCCACATGCAATATTGACACGATACTGTAGACAGTGTAGAGAGGAACAGCAGCAGTGGAAGGTAACGTGTATGTGTTTTGCCTTTATAACATTCTCCACAGCTGGGATGTTTTAGTGAATAAACAAAATCACATCAAAAACTCAAAATAATGATCATATATATGTATCTATGGGAAATAAAACGGAAAACGGGCCCCCGAAAACCGTACGACGATTATTGCGGAGGAGCTGTGGCAATGTAATGTTCGGAAGTTGTCACTGAATCTATTTCTATAGGCGGCTTTATGATAAAAGAATGATGTGCTGGTAAGTGTATCATCGCGTGATAAGTGTTAGAGATAATACATACCTTTCTCTTTCGGATAACCATTTTCTGTGTGCAATAATCTCACGAATTTGTCAAAACACAAGCACGTGGATTCTTCGAGTAAAGGGACGTTATTTACTTCCGGTAGAAGTCACGGCATTTCTAAACTGGGCTCCGTCTAATTTCATACCACTTGCGCACGATAGCAAGGCACACTGGGAACCGGTATTTGTGTAGACTGTACTGAAATAGCAAATACACGAGAGAGAGCCCAGAATATTTGAATTTCAAACCGACCATGTTCGTGAAAAACGCTTGCACGAAATTTGCGTGTTTGCACAAACTTCATAACAAGTTGTGAATGGAATACTCATAAGAATTTTTCTTTGGCCGTTTAACTATGACAGACCCAGAAAATACAGGTCTTTTGTGCGAAGGCTACTGCGGATATTTTGGATGGTAATTCCAAAGTATTCGGTCTTACATTAGGCGTTTTATCACTAATTACGAGAACTTCAAAAGGTAGTAAAAGCGTATATGAAACCAGTTACAGTCAGATATGGAAAAAACATGTTTGGAGTAGGCATTTTTATCAGTCACGAATTTTCAGAATATTTGTTTTTGCTGTTTTATGTAGATGATTCGGATTCCAACTGAAACAGTTTTGGTTATATATAGGACGTCGAAGGTGCGGGTGATGAGAATGCATGTTTGTTTGATTATGCATTGCGAATGAGTGATGGTAATATCAGGGTTTTACCTTGCCTTACAATGGTGGGGGTCAAGGGGGGCCCTTCATACATTTTACAGGTCCTTGGTGGTAATATGTGGGACGTGTATTGTTCAAAACGGTAGTGGTTGGTTGTTGTTTAACGCCGCACTCAGCAGTATTCCAGGTATATGGCGGCGATCTGTAAATAATCGAGTCCGGACCAGACAATCCAGTGATCAACAGCATTAGCATCGCAATTGTTGTGTGAGTGAGTTTAGTTTTACGCCGCTTTTAGTAATATTCCAGCAATATCACGGCGGGGGACACCAGAATGTGGGGAATCGAACCAGGGTCGTTGTAAACGCTAGGCTAACCCCCCCCCCCCCCCCCAACACGTGTTGAACCTCTTATGCTGTTGTTTTAGTACATGGGCCTTCTCTCCTCATCGGGTAGTGGCTTAGTGGCTAAGCGTTCGCTTGTAACGCAGACGACCCGGGTTCGATTCCGCACATGGATACAATATGTGGCGCACATTTCCCTGCCGCAATATTGTTGGAACATTGCTAAAAGCGGTGTAAAACTATACTCAGTCACTGTTTAAATTCTTCAAAGGCGTTTAGAAGTTGGTGTAGTAATACAGGACAAATCTTATGGATAACAACTTCTTGATGTATATTTCACAACGTTTCTGAGCTAGTTCTTGCCCCCCTTCTTCAGGTCTATAATGGTGATAGTGAACAGTACAGTATATATATAGATGTACATGAAGCCAGATATGTAAACTGAGTATATAAAAGGGAAAAAGGAGGTATAATTAAGTATTTACAAACAATGCAGTGAGTCACCATTTAGTCTGTAGACAAGCACAGGTTACTGTCGAGCATACTCACTCTGACTGAGACCGATACAAGCCTTGACTCATGTTTAGAGCCAGTGTATAAACATGGCGTGGTGAGCTTCAGGATTCGAGACTTGACAGTGTGTGTGGCGTACGTTGCTAGGACGTTCACGTTGTTCATGACAACGCGTTGGGTGGATTCCGGGTCCCTCAAACCGCCGACGGAGGCGACACTGTGAGTAGCGTGGTCAGAGTCGGTGACATGGTTGACATCGTGCCGATAGCTCATACTATCAAGTAATGTCAAGTTTGGTCCCGTAATATAAATGTCACAGGCATATTAGCATTCGTGGCCATACTGGACGCCAGATTCGAACCCCCTGAGCCCATCGGTGTGTTGTCATTTGTGGCCACACTGGACGGCAGATTCGAACCCCCTGAACCCATCGGTGTGTTGTCATTGGTGGCCACACTGGACGCCAGATTCGAACCCCCTGAACCCATCGGTGTGTTGTCATTTGTGGAGACAAATTGTTGACAACGGATAACGAAATGACCAATGAACGTCAAGAACTGATCGTCATTTAGTCATTTTGGGCAAATAAGTTGATGCGAAGTTCAAGCAATGTGAAGGAGTGTCAGTGAGTTTGGTTTTACGCCGCTTTTGGCAATATTCCAGCAATATCACGGTGGGGGACACCAGAAATGAGCTTTGCACATTGTACCCATGTGGGGAATCGAACTCGGGTCTTTGGCGTGACGAGCAAACGCTTTAACCACTGGGCTACCCCAACGCCCCAATGTGAAGGAACATGACAATCCATACAGCACAGAATGCCGGCAACCACAAGAGATGGCACGTGGACCAACCATATCAGCAGTGTCTACTTGAGAATCAGTCATTCCAGACCACTGTCCAGGACTTCAGGAACAACCGCTGCCGATTCACGAAGACGTCTACACGCTGACGAGTAAAACACAACGGGAATTTCCTAAAACCAAACAGATATGACACGGACGTAAAATCTACGTTAAGCCATACATGTAGGTTTTGCTGCTAGGGCTTGTTGGAATCTTGGTTTGCCGTTAGACGCATTGTCTAGAGAAACCTCCGCTAAAAGGTAACGGTATTCTACGAAATAAAGGCCCCCTTAAAACAATCGGATAAAGGCAAGCATGGGTGTACAATAAACACGTGGAATGTTCTCACGTTGCTGAGCTGTACTCTCAGATTTTAAAACACTTGATTATTGTCATTTTCCACTTGCCTGTACCGAAACTGTGGAAAGCTTAATGATTACAGATGTGCAACAAATTCATGATATTCCTATGAAAACGCCCAATGAATCTGCAAAACTGTGTCAACCTTGGATTAAGTATTTATGGTACATTATTACATGCTGACGAAAATGCGTGATTTATTTATGAAACGGCAGCTTGTGTCATGACGAGATATCCTAATTTTGGGCACACTTTGATCAGGCAAAGTGTACCATCACAGGACGATGTGTTAGACTGCCTTACACAGAGAATGCATGCTGTATTGAGACAACATAGAACTAAATGAATTAACATTAAAATTTATAGAAGCTTACGGAATGAATTTGAGGTTTTATTTAAAAGGAAAAAACCCGAATATTTTAAGCAGCAAAGAATTTTATTACTAAATGCAACAGATAACCTCAGATCATTCTGTAAAATCCTTACGCGAGGAAGACGAACTTATAATTATCTGGAACTGTTACACAGTCAATGGTGTACACATTTCCACAATCTGCTATCAGTTCAAAATGTCCACCTTGACTATTTACACTGCTTAAGTAAAACCAAGACACATATTCATCCATATCCTACACATGCTATATAATAAAAGACTGTGACAACCTGTGAACAGTATACTGTCCCAGGCATGTGTAAGGGACCGGCTGTCGTGCTCCCAAACCTGGTCCGAACCTCAACGTATCACCGGACCTTGGGACCTTCTGTCGTGCTCCAAAACCTGGTCCGAACCTCAGGGTATATCACCGGACCTTGGGACCTTCTGTCGTGCTCCAAAACCTGGTCCGAACCTCAGGGTATCACCGGACCTTGGGACCTTCTGTGGTGCTCCCAAACCTGGTCCGAACCTCAGGGTATATCACCGGACCTTGGGACCTTCTGTCGTGCTCCAAAACCTGGTCCGAACCTCAGCGTATCACCGGACCTTGGGACCTTCTGTCGTGCTCCCAAACCTGGTCCGAACCTCAGGGTATCACCGGACCTTGGGACCTTTTGTCGTGCTCCCAAACCTGTTCCGAACCTCAGGGTATCACCGGACCTTCTGACCTTCTGTCGTGCTCCCAAACCTGTTCCGAACCTCAGGGTATCACCGGACCTTGGGACCTTCTGTCGTGCTCCCAAACCTGTTCCGAACCTCAGGGTATCACTGGACCTTCTGACCTTCTGTCGTGCTCCCAAACCTGTTCCGAACCTCAGGGTATCACCGGACCTTATGACCTTCTGTCGTGCTCCCAAACCTGTTCCGAACCTCAGGGTATCACTGGACCTTCGGTCTTTCTACCAAGATGTCTACTAAGAAAAAGTCTCTTGGTTAAAAGCGGTTTGATTAAGGTTTTAACATTTATGACCTCAGTAAAGCTTACATAAAGTAATATGGTTGACATGTGCTGGCCATTTCCAAATGTAACAGTGATAGAAAAGATATATATAGAATTATAGAAGGGGAATATAAAGAAAGAGGGGGAATTTAACCAGAGCCAGCTTCCTAGATTACGTGTCCCCTATCCCTGGATACCAACCGAATATGGTTGTCTTGTTGACGTAACGTCATACCTACACGAACAACCAGTGTCAAGTTATGGTCGTTGGTCTGTTTAGATAGCTTCTCTTAAAGGATGGTATTGTCTTTTGATGAACATTTAAATGGCTCTCATCTTCTTCTTGAGCCATTCCTATTTGCAGCATCCCCAAATTTTCAACGACCGGTGTCTAAGCATTGTTTATGGTTTAAAAATATCGTGTTGATAGCTGATCATTGTGTGCTGTCGTCATTTAAAACACACAAACATCCAAGTTAGTACGGGAATATAATCCAGATACTTTATTGATGAAGTATTATGCAAATCAAAGAGATCATACTGATGTACATCGGGTTTTTTGGTACGTGTAACTGTTCATCACCACCTTAAGTCCAGGGCGTGGCTTCAAGCAGGTGTGTAGAAAACGCATTTTATTTCAAATGTTCTTTCTTATTGAACTTTATACAAACGACCGTTACATTTTCAGCCAGAATATACCTTCAATCGTACAACATTTTGATGTCAGTACAGTTAGGCACCCATTTTGTGGCCAATAGATACTGAAGCGTATGTAAAATCTCCTCCACGACTCCGAGGATTGGAAGGAATCTCTGTCGCCTGTTATTGTGGCAAATCTCCTCTGGAAATGAACTCAAGGTATGACATTTACCCTTAGTATGGACCTCCGGCATTAAAATTGAAAACAAAACGCTTTTCAGAATCCTGTATGAGAAGAGGGAGGAACATTTCAATCATGAACTTTTATGCATTGTATTCCCTTTATACCGAGCAGTCCTTCAGCAGCTCCAACACCCGGTGTCCACATTTCACAACGTTTTAAGAACACTCGAGATTGCTCTTTCTACCAAGATGTGCAAGACAATCCCCTGCGTAAAAGCGGTTTGATCAGGGGTATAACGTTCATGGTCTCAGTAAACATGGTTGACCGAGAAGTGGCAGAACTGATGTCACATGTAAATTATTTCCTTAGTTTGCCTTACCCCTCAGCCCTCATCCAATATGAACCCATTTCTTACAGGTGAACAAAGGCCTTTTACGTGTGTTTGTGGCCGGGGCCAACGTGAAGAGGACGTGCCACTCTTTTGGCGAACATCGCTGGTGTGATTCATGGGCACGTTGTGCTAACAGTCGAAATCATCCAATCATACAATCATACAATCGACACTTATGGAAATGGGAAGGGGTTTGTTGCTTTTGTTTGCAATTTAAATATTCATGAAACTTCTTAACCAAATCCCCTTGGTTTAAATTTGCATTTTGTTGTGACTGATTAACTAACATGTAAACATCCCCCCTTCGCTCTCTCTCTCTCTCTTTCTCTCTCTCACACACACACGATCTTGTAGAATGTATATATATTTGAAACAAATAGTTTTCTTTCAGATGACACATGTTTTCACTTTTAACAATTTGTCCTCCACGTTCAACGACAAAAGCCATTGGTTCAAAGAATGAAATCGTTCTATAACTTTGACAGTTGAGCACCAGGGCCCCTATGAAACATCACCCATCTTTTAGAATTGAGATATACTGAATTTAAAATGCAGCGAATCAGGCCGTGAAATGAAATTTCAAAGATGCTCAGAAGAAGACAGAACTCCTAAACTGTTGAAATAATGTTTCATGAATCAAGTATGTAACACAATTCAAGGACTTTCATTAGGTTACTAAATAATTCATTAAGTCGTCTGTATCAGTCTGTCTGCATTGCCACCAGCTGTGTCCCGAGAGAACCAGTTTTAGCAACTCTGACCCATGAACAATATCACATCCCAACCTACATAGTGTTACCTTGTGTATGTTTCCAGGTGACTTGGTGCGTGACGTCTGTGTAAGCGTTCGAGAACTTCAGCAAAACGTGGAAGATAAGCCGAGTGGTACAATCCTTAAAGGAATATATAGTTTATCCCCCTTTATATTCTATACTTTATTCACTAACACTTTAACATTCACCACACACGTGCAAATAAACCAGACTCATTTTATGTGATATTTTCTATTTTGTGATATTGGTGAGTGAGAGTTGCATTACACCCCTGGTATTCCATCAACCTCATTGCATTGGCATCAGACATGGACCATTGCAGGTTTCTAAAACCAGGGATTGAAGAAAATAGCTAGAAATGTTGTAAACCTGACACCAAACACACACACTCACACACGCACGCACGCACGCGCACACACACACCACCACCACCACCACCACCACCACCAAAACCACCACACACCCACACACCCACCACCCCTGTTTCAACGAATATGGGGACAGGCCATTGTCAGCTCTTCTTTATAGTTTGACTGTGCACTATTAACGCCTAAGAGAAATGAAGATGCTATGCCTTACATAATTCCTATACAGTATGTAGAGATGAAAACTGTATAGCTTCTATCCTCACTATGTACTTGTTTATGGGCAGGATGGCATTTTCATACGCACATATATATTTATTTTCCAGAATCAACAGTCAGTTTCCAAGTTCAGGGAATATATGGTGCAAAACAAAATAGGAAATGCGCCACAGTGAAAATGCGTCCAACCTGTTAAAGTCCACCACATGTCTACATTAAACCTTTCCCAAGCTCTTGCTGGACCGTGTATGTTTCATCATTAACGAAAAAGCGTTTAAACCGTCGTAAGACACTGAACTCTTGATAGAAGGGGAATGTTCTATTCTACCCGAGGAGTTGTAGTTGTAGTGGTCACATGTTGTAATGTTAAATCTTTGAAGGGCATTTTCAATATTTTTCAATGTTGAAGATACAGGAAGGCTTAACTATTGTAAAAACGAAATGCTCCATCTCGTCAAAGAACCTTGTGTAGGTTTTGTCACTCTGAATCCTAATATTGATTTTTTTATGAAATGAATGAGGCCATTAGTCTTCTCAGTTTTATTTCTCCATACATGCACAGACATTACATTTATTGAGTTGAGGTAACTGGTTATTGAATCTTTATTGACCGATACTGTGATCACATGATCTATATACCTGCATCGTAACAGAGATTTGTTGACTAAGCACCACAATTTCATTTTGCCGAAAAGAAATTTCTATTTATATATAGAGAATCAGATAAACGGGTAGCGGAGCAGTGGCATATACTGACCATAGGGTTGTCTATTTCTTCCACGTCTTACCTGCAAACTTTCCATGTATGACGATGCCAAACATTTCGTGTCTGTTTTTTTTCGGTTCAGGTGGCATTTGCTTCAACGATTTACAAACTGTACACTACCTGTGAACACCGAGATATACGCATGTCTAAGGAAGGGTACCCTTCGCGAACACCTGGTAGCAGCACTCATTGTCAGTGGTCCATTCGTTTCCTTTCAACAACTTTTCTTTCCCAACACCAACAACTCAGAATTTGTTTCTGAGGATAGTCAGGACTGGGTATTCGTTTGCACTAACGTTCTATTTTAATTCACGGGGGATGTAGCTCGGTGGTCAAGGCGTTCGCTCGTCACGCCGAAGGCCCGGGTTCAATTCCCCACATGGGTACCATGTGTGAAGTCCATTTCTGGTATCCCCCGCCGTGATGTTGCTGAAATATTGCTAAAAGCGGCGTAAAACTACCCTCACTCACTCACTCACTAATTCAACTGAGTCGATGTTTCTGAATATTGCCCTAGATTAACCAATAGCTCACTAGCATGTTCAAGTATTCTGAGTCAACTACAGAAGAAATGTTTGGTCCAAGACGTTAAAACTGGGCACACTGGGTTATAAAACTAATCTATTTCCCAATCGTTTTTCTTTTCTTAGAAGCATCGGAATCTCTGTATTTCTACAGCGGTCGTACTTCACAATCAGAGTACTGCATGTTCCGGTCCAAGTATCACTTGGTGGTGATCACTGGTTTGCTTACACTCCCTGTAGCAGGAGAACTGCTGTATGGCGTCAGGCAAACAATACTTTCAGTTTTAGGAAAAAGCTGGAACGTCGGGTGCTATCGGTACGGCAGGACATGCTTACCCTTTCCTCAACACATATTTTAATAGCTGGTTTGCAGTGACCCATTCACATTCGTTAAACGTCCTATCTCTTATTCCCACCAAGGTTTGTACCAGGGATAGTCGAGACTGGGTATTCTTTTCGGTTAAAATAATAGAAGTGACAGCATAAGCAAAATGCCAGTTTACGATTCCGACCATATCATCACCCCCTGAGTGTGAATACCTACCAAATAGTGATGAGACAGGTATTTACAACCCTATACATATGAAAGAATGTCATTCACCTATCGAGATTCACATCTCCACATTCATCAAAATAACATCATGTAGAGGCGTCCGATTTCAGTATATAGAATATTACATTATTCACAGCACAGTTGATGTTTAAATTTACATGGAATATATAAGAGATATATCAAGTTACGACCAAGTTCACATATCAATTAACATCATGCACTCTATTATGACATACAGTCTACACATTTGCATGATTATATTATGTAGATACAGAACGTCAAACCCAGTGAATAATGGATCTCGATTATCTTCCGAAACAGATGGCTTTGAAAGACAATACGACCACGAAGAGGCATCATTATACAAATAACATGGCAACATCCTATATAAAGAGGCAGCCTTGTCATTCACCCGTCAGTGGCTGACGTTGCAGGCAGTTACGACTGTACCCCTACTATTGGTAAAGTATTATGTTTACAATTACAAACTCTTATTAAAATGTGTATGATAGACAGATTGTAATTGTTCTGATGACCAAAAACGTAAATGTTTTTGATCCTGTGCTGCCTTATAACACAGGCATGTACTTTGAAACGAAAGAGTTCACTCCTTCAAAACGTCAAATTCGACAACCTTCCTGCAGTTACTACCATTTCCCTTCCAGCTACAGTGATGTTGAGGATCATCATTCTGGCGTCATGCGCAGTGGCTGGCATTTCAGGTTGGCTGTCAAATATCCTATTATTTATTTAATATTATTATTATATTATTTAACATTATTTCCCCGATATTGGTTCATTTAAAGTTTAATGAACACAGTGGTAGCAGGAAATACTTAAACAGAAATGGAAAATGTATGGAATCGCATTAGTGCCACATTGTAAAAATCTATCATCTTCGTCGATGGAATGGAATGGTTCTTGAGCCACAGTATGAGGGACTCTTTAGAATGTGGCACTCAAACCTTCCACAGAGCTATCCAAGAATCGTCTGTGGAGAATATTTTGGTGGTAAGATAGTTATAACGTTTGTCCAAGGTTAAATATTTATTTAATCCCCAATTTGTTGCAACGTGAACATGATGCCTTGTCTTAGCCTGGGCTGATGTTAATATATTGTTTGTAGCCGCCTGTTCTGAGGGATACAATGAGACGGTTATCCCCCGGTGCTTCAGGGCCAAACAAAACATGTTTGGAGACTATGTACTTTATGGTATGTGCGGATTATTATTTTGATTATATATACTTAATTTTGTTGTTGTTGTTGTTGTTGTTGTTGTTGTTGTTGGACGTCTATTCAGACCTATTCCTACTATGTGATGGTACATATAAATCGAGTCTATTCGGGGAGTGACAAAATTAACTTCGATGCAGTTACCGTGTAAACCGAGTCAGCGAGTCTAACCACCCGATCCCCTCTTTCGCCTGGAGAAGCATGGTTTCCTTAAGACTATTTGTAACCTTGATGTTCACGGGTGGTATATTCGGCTAAACATTACTTTTTAATTTCAAACAATAGTGTTTACAGATTAACCGAATTCTACTGAGCAAGATTCTTACGGAAAACATTTGAAATTTTCTATGACAGCTGAACAAAGATTTCTTTTGTGACATATGTTAAAGTAACGGGATCCGTTGGAATCATAATACAGATTGGTGTAGAAATAGAAAAAGTCAGGTCAGGTGTACGATACTTTCAGCGTTTTCTGACGAGTATTAGGTGGCTCCAGTCAGAGCTGACAACGAGGAGCCTGTACACATTATCAGGATACTAGCTGTCAATATTAACACAACTCCAAACGTGTACATATACTGCGATGTATCAGGAAGGATGGTCAGGATACTACTTTTGACGCGAGTGTTCGTAAACATCGTCGACTTCAGTCCATATTTCGAGTGAAAAAGAGCTTGACTTGGCCGAAATTGTCACGAAATTGTCCCTTTGAAACATTTACCCCGAACATTTAGCTTGCGGAATTTTTAACTGCATTTCGTAATTTAGTTTAAAGTGAGAGAGTGAGTGAGTGAGTCAGTGAGTGAGTATGGCTTTCGCCACTTTTAGCAATATTCCAGCAATATCACGGCGGGGAACACTAGATATGGGCTTCACATATTGTACCCATGTGGGGAATCGAACCCGGGTCTTCGGCGTGACGAGCGAACGCCTTAACCACTAGGCTACCCCACTGCCCCAATTTAGTTTTGAAAAGTTATCAAGGATTAAGCCAAGAAAGGTTATAAAGTGTCAAGTTGTGAAAGGTTATAAAGGGTCAGGAAAGGTTATCAAGAATTAAGTTAAGAAAGGTCATAAAGGATCCAATCACGAAAGATTATATAGGGTTATATCAAGAAAGGTTATATAGGGTTATATCAAGAAAGGTTATATAGGGTTATATCAAGAAAGGTTATATAGGGTTATATCAAGAAGGGTTATATCAAGAAAGGTTATATAGGGTTATATCAAGAAAGGATTTATAGGGTTATATCAAGAAAGGTTATATAGGGTTATATCAAGAAAGGTTATATAGGGTTATATCAAGAAAGGATATAACGCTGACATTTCTTACAAACGTCTCCATTGTCTCCAGAAGGGCGAGTTCAGTTTAGATTAACTCACCATTTTTGAAAATGTGGAAAAGACAATTTCTAACATTAACATAATTTTAAAGATTATAAATTATACATATGTACCAAAGGATGAGTTATGCCAGTGTATCATTCTATGGTACCTCTGTGTGAGTTATGCCAGTGTATCATTCTATGGTACCTCTGTGGTTCGTCTATTCTATAACACTGTTTTGATAGCACGAGAAGTTCAGAAGCTTAGACTGTAGCACAAATACTGTTGATCAATTGGTTAAACTTATACATCTCCACTCAATCACGTTCTTCAGTCCCCTGTCCAAGTGGATATACAAGGGTTCAGAATCCGAGTCTGTGCTACAAAATAAGTGCTCCTGCCGATAAAAAGAACTACCCTGACGCCATGGAAGAGTGCAGCAAAGTCCAGAACGGCCGCCTCATTGACCTGGACTCTCCGGACAAATATGGCTTCCTATCAGGAGTCATGACCGCTTTGACCCCGACTTCACCGCGCAGCCGTAAGTGTGTTTTCAATTCACTAAAATCTTATTCTACAGGAAACAGTTAACTACAGATAACTCGTATTTGGGTTTGAAGACATAGACAACAACCAGTAAACGGTAATCATTGAGAATGTCAGAGAGCAGACATTGAGTGAATTACCTAGTCTGTCACAACTGATCTTTTTGATCCACCAATTTCTGAAGCTGCAGACACCCTGGTTATGATCTCGCGTAGCATATATTGAACTCACTCATATCGATGAGAGTTAGAAAGTACCAGTTTCATCCAGTTCCAGTCCTAAATATTCACGTTTTTTACACCTAATTTATACTGTGTGACCTTGACCTTCAGTGTCACCCAAACCCTTGATAAGCTTCAATCGTTATCATTTCATCTTATGTATATTTAGGGTGTTCATTTTAAAGGAAGACTAATTTGGCGAGAGGACATTTCGTCATGCAGATCACTCCATAAACTATTGGTGCTGTTTCAGGATTCAGAAACTTCGGTGTGTGGATCGGTCTGAGACGTGTCACCAGTACCGGCTTCAGATGGAACTCGGGGTCTATGTTTGTCACCAACTGGGGTTACAAGGAGCCAGAACTGACCTCGTTAAGTCGCTGTGGAATGATACATTTTGAGGGGCTTGCTAACCAACGCTGCACTCCCAAACTCCGCTACGCCTGTGAGGTTCCCATGTAACAGAAGCAGCCTGTCAGTGTTACACATTAGATGTACTGGCTACTGAAATCTTCAAGCTGTGGAAATTAAACTAAATTATATCAAGCTCCTGAACATTGTTGATTTGTTATTAATGATTATACAAACTGGCAGAATGTTGTCAGTTTACGTACAAAGAAGTGAGCCAGTATAGTTTTACATCGCTTTTAGAATTATTCCAGAAACATGTGTGAGGGTACACCGGCATTAAACATTGTACAAATGTTGGGAATCGAACCTCGGCCTGACGGGCCAGTGATTTAACCACCAGACTACCCCACTGTCCCTTAATACTAAAGACAAAAACAACCCACTGCAGTTGCCCTCGTTCTGAGATTTCTTGTCAGGCGACTCCTGCTCAAACAGGTTTCACTCAAGACCTTAGGTACTTCATACCGTTGACAAATGGAAGACTGTTCCAAATCTGAAGTGACAAAAATGGTGTTCAATGCAAGACCGTAGTTCTAGCTTGTACCCCGGTACCGTGTTTTTCAGGGTGAACAATTGACTTACTGTTGCATGTTTTGTGATCTGTGTAACTGGTCGGGCAGGATGAGCTGATGTTTCCACTAGCAGCTTCTGTTCTGACTTCTTTAATTGTTTAGAAGCTGGAATGATGAAGAGGAACACTTTTATAGAAAGACAACTTCTTTATTTCAATAGATGCGACGTTTCGGTGTAGATACTAACACTGTTATCAAGCAAATGGATCTAAACCGAAACGCCGCATCTTCGGTCATCATTCTTTGACATGTGCTTTTTGTAAGAATCGAAAGAATTTTGTTCAGGAAGTAGTATGTTTCCACGGTTCCATCAAACCACAATCCGATGCTATACTTCACATTCCTTCTGAACCATGGAGCAGTGACAACTGCAAGTTATCTGTGTCAAGAACTATCACCCATTGGTGTATATTCAGCTTCTACGGTGAAACAGAAAGAAACAGGCCGACCTTGATTCAAGTTAACATCGTGTCCACTGACGGCATTCAATTTCAATGACGTAACGTCCGGTTGGGTGAATTAAGCGTCAAAGCCCTTTCTATTCTGTAAAAAATCTAAGAACATTTGGTTCAAGTGAAAACCATATATCGCAATATAATTTGAGTCACTAATGCTGTACAACACCACAAAGGTTCTGTTCCAAAACCGAGCTGTTCAACCAGACATGGTATGTGGAGGATGACCGTTAGCCAGCCAGTCCAATGCATTGTTGAGGAATAGCGTGTGTTATTTAAATAAACGTGACAAAACTCTTTCAATAAGTTTAAGAAAAATCATAAACGAATAACACAACGTCATAGCTTACATCATCGACATCATCACTGTTTCCAAGAAAAATACGACAAAGGACTTTCAATGTTCGCAAGAAATCGCTGCTTAAACGGCGACAGAACCCCGACGAGCCTGACTATATTGTGAGCATGTGTTTAGGAATCACTTTCGACTATTGCTAACACCAGATGTTCGCAAAATGTACGTGTATCCTGCCCAACTCAGAGCACAGCCTGGGTGTTGGGGTGGTTTAGTGGTCTAGTCGACCCGGGTTCGATTCCCCACATGCGTACAATGTGTGAAGCCCATTTCTGGTCTCCCCCGCCGTGATGTTGCTGGAATAATACTAAAAGCGGCGTAAACCATACTCACTCACTCACTCACTCATAGCACCGCCACTAACACATGCAAAGGCAAGTCAACTATTGAGCTGAAAACATCTGTAAATAGGGAGTTGCACCGGATATAAAGTTTGCTTAAAATGCGTCCAGTTTCTAAATGCAATCCCCACGACTACTATAAAACGGATTTACTGGGGCTTTGGATTAACCTTGTAACAACATTTCAACAAGAACATCTTAGTACAGGGAGCATGCTTGGAGTTACCTTGTTTTGAAGTCCAGACACTAAAGAATGCTGGTGATAGGATAGTGTGGTAAAATTGTGTATAATGATATTAAGTCCTGTTTATCATTATATGGAGTACATTAACAGTTATTCGACTTTGAGGACACGTGAAGGTTGCCACTTAATTCATTCTGTATTAGTGCCACCATTTCTGCCATATTCTGCTACGCCCGAATTGGTGACGTGACGCTGCTTTCTAAAACATTAAGTCTCGTGTCAGCTTTGAATAAAATGACCTGGAGATTCCACAGTTCCAGATATTGCGAAAATGAAGCATAAATCTCTGCTCTGTAATTTGTCCAGTACTTTTTTTAGGAACCTAATGTGGAACTGCTCAAAACTATAACCATTTTAATCTTGAAGTTTAGGAATGTGTGTAGGGCTTGTAACTACCTATGGATGTTCTCGGATTGTTCTAAATTAGCAGAACTTTGTACTCATGTTTAAATATTGCTCCAAAAGAGCACCGTTTTCAAAGCGCTCTTTTCCCAAAAGCCGACTGGAGATAAATCTACTGTGTTTTATAATTGATGCAGTCTGTTGATGTAGATACCACTTTCTCTAATCTAGAAACAGAGCTGTTTAACATCGAATTCCAAAACACGGTAGTTTTATCTCCATTTTACCCCGACAAGGGCCATCAAGTACATACACCCATCAAGTAACAAGGCACTCAGTCAAATCAAGCACATAGACCTATCAAGCCACAAAGCACTCAGTCAAATCAAGCACATAGACCTATCAAGCCACAAAGCACTCAGTCAAATCAAGCACATAGTCCATTCCAACAATCAACTACTCACTCAGATCAAACACTTAGTCGAATGAAGCAACCAAACTCTCATGCTCTTATTTCCAAATTACAAAAGACATGTACTCTACAATCTGGAATACAAGTATATCAAATATTCCAACGCAGTAGGTGTACCTCCTAAGAAGAAGCTCCGGGAGCTTCTAATATTTCTAATATGTTTGTCTGAGGATGTTACAATATCTACCATTTTGTTTCAATTCAGAACTAGGCTACCAGAAGATTAAACTGCACACATTTAATCACACACACTGATTAAACAGAATCTGGTTCTGGTTTTACCAATATACGGAACTATACTGTCTAGTCAATAGGCCCTTGTAGACCCTTCCATGAGCAAATATTGCAGGATTTCCTTCTAGGGCATGGTCTTGCTGTAAACAGTTCTTATGGTTCCTGAAGAAGTGGCAACAAAACTCTTCCAAATCAGTGGTATAACTTGGCCTCGTCTGTACTTGTGACTATGACTGGCATATTTCAGATGCCTTAAACAGACTCAAAACATTGGAGTTAGCAGTTCGGTGGTTAGACAGTCCAAGTCTGAATATGTTTCATTACCCCCTTGTCTCAGAGAGTTTTCTCCTGGGACAGCTTTAAACAGGAGTGAGTTGGGTTTTTAGGCCGCTTTAAGCAATATTACAGCAATATCACGGCTGTGGACACCAGAAATGGGCTTCACACACTGCACCCATGTGGGGAATCGAACCCAAGTCTTCGACGTGACGAGCGAAAGCTTTAACCACTCGGCTACACAACCACCCTTTAAACAGGAAGGTTTTTTTTGTGTCAGTGTTTATAGTTTTAGATATAATTCATCAATATTCTTGTACAATGATTGCTGCCTGTAACTAAATCGAGTTTTGACCTTGCAGTCAAGTGATTGTGAATATGGGCATCTTTAGTCGCCTCCAGGACACGATGGCAACGACAAGCCTAGGTTACTGAGGGACTTGTCGTTACTTGCGTAACGCAGTGTAAACACAACTTCCGACATGCACAGACTTTTATTTTGAAATGGTCAGTTTAATTTTCACAACACGACAGTATAGGTTTTTCACAAGTGACTTTATTATTCGTCAACGTTATCAGAGTATCTCTCTGTTAAAGAGAGGGGTCTTCTCACTGACATCTGACACCCGGTGCCGCACCCGTTATTGGGTAACGGGGATCTCACAGATGTATCGGCGGTAGAGGTTGCACAGATCGTTCCTTATGCCCCCGGGGTACAACTGACCACAGTCTGTCCCAATTACTTTCTCCGGCTGCCCGACGCCCCAGTTGGGGACATAGGGGGATCCCGTTTTCCATCTGAACAGTGTCAGAGAGGCTCGCTTCAGACCAATCCACAAACCGTCGTCGAAAGACCCTAAAACAGAGCATGAATCCTGTATGGATTAAGTTAAGTGACGGGATGGATGCTGCCAACTTCTCCACAAGGAGTCAAAGTCTATTTTTCCCGAGATCTCTATGTACTTTTATCATTAAAACACATGCCGGGCGTGAGTGAGTGAGTTTGGCTTTACGACGCTTTTAGCAGTATTCCACCAATATCACGGCGGGGACACCAGAAATGGGCTTCACACATTGAGCCCATGTGGGGAATTGAACTCGGGTCCTCGGCGTGACGAGCGAACGCCTTAACCACTAGGCTACCCCACCACCCCTTATTGTACGTAATAAGTGAAAACCGGTTGCTGTAGTTTCCTAACCTTGATCACTGCTAATGTTTTGTTTATACTATATGTATGGTCTAAGAATATACATTTTGTAGGGAGGGTTTGAAGGTGGGGAGTGGCTATGATTTTATCGTTTGGGATTTGTAGCAGGAAAAATGTACACTGTAAAGAAATAATTAGAATCAGTGTTTTAATTTATAACGAAACATCTGGATTTGCACTGAGGGCTCAACATCCACTGTTGGTAATGAACAACAATTGCTTGTCGTTATGGCCGACTTCAGAGATTGGGTTGTTATGGCCGACTTCAGTGATTGGGTGGTAAGGCTTGATGTAAGGATAATAACTTGTTTATATCAACAATCTCAGTTGTCTAGTACGGACTATTATTATATAATAGAAACAACAAAAATATTAATTCTATGATGAACGTGACAGGCAGTTGGGATACCTTGACACTCAATCACCCCAGCCCCTGGACCAACATCCTAGTATAGAAACCCCAGCATAGGTTTCTGCCGTATTGTAGTCACCAATCCTAACGGCCGTCTTACCAAGCGCTTGTCCTGTGGGCCCCAGTACCTCCATAAGTCCAGCTACGACGCCATACTTGTCTTCAGCGTTTAGAACAAGAAGACGGCCGTTACGCATCCTCTCGCAATACGTAGCGGCGTTTTTGAAGTCCTTCCTCTCAGTAGGGGGACTTACTCGGAAACACATTCTGGGATTTGCGGTCAGCAAATATCCTGTGGGACAGGGCGCTGAAAAGTGTGAAAGTTGAAGGTTGATAAGTCTCAGCGTCACAGATGAAGCAACTCTTTGCACAGTAAATGATGGGCCGTAAGAAATATTGTACAGATTTGTTAAGTGAAAATATGAATCGCCAAATAGAAACTGGTTGTTGGAACCAACAAAACTGTATTTAAAAACCATAGGTCACATCTTACACGAGGTGGTTATGAAATAGCTGCAGGTTCTGTCTTTGTTGGGAGCCAAAATGACGTCACTAAATATTCTTTTTTTTTTTAGGTGTGACATCACGGTTGATCTGCTATTAAGTCTATTATTGAGGGTCATTATATATTATTAAGCACCTTGTATAATGATGCTGCATCCCTAGCAGATGACAAACTGTTCACCCCATTTCATGATCATCCAAGATACCATATAAATAATTATATATACACTGGACCCATTAGCAATATTATCTGTTTTTTTAATGTCAGTTCTAATTTCATGAGGCCATATGTGATAGTCAAATCGTGATTACAACTTTTGTATTATGCCAGAAGGTGCTGGTGTCGATATCATACTTTACCCATATTGTTACATCATGTATCCAATACAAGCAAACACGCAATCAGTGAGTAAGCATGTTTTGCGTGTGGCAACAATAGAACGCCAGGAGACATGGGTTGTACCGATGTTGGAATCAAACACCGACCTTGGACGTAACGAGAGAACGCTTTACCCACTAGGCTACCAAGTCGTTGTAGGAGACGTCGGAAAGCTTGTGGACTTTTCTCCCCATCTTACAGTTTTGAGGGTGAGTGAGTTGGTTTTAGGCCCCTTTTAGAAATATTCCAGCAATATCACGGCGGGGGACACCAGACATGGGCTTCGTACATTGGACCTAATACCTATGTGGGCAATCGAGCTAGGGCCTTCGGCATGTCGAGCGAACGCCTTAACCACTAGGCTACCCTACCGCCTCGTTACAGTTACGAATCCGTCATAATGGCATCTGGAATGCATCCCTTGTTAAAATGTTGAACAAAACACAAAACACTGGCAATGTAGACTACGATTGTAACCTTCTTCAGAATGAATGAATTACTGGGGAACTGTTAACACATCAAACATAACCGTGCTAATATGTATTCGCAACAGACCAGGTGTTCGGTCCACTTCTTCAGTGTTATTGTTCCGGCCCACTTGGACGCATGTTTTGGTTTCAAACTCTGTGTATCCACGAGAACAGCCAGCTAAGGAATAAACCAATAGAATATAGTTAGCTCAAGCATCATCGACTGAATGTGTACATATCTCAACCTAACAGCCCCTCATATTGTCAGAGTAGATGCATTGCTTTTTTATAACAAATTCTACGTTCTACCCGTGAGGCCTTACTTCGGGAGATCCGACAAAAGACTTCAGGTTTTGTTGAAACATCATCAAAGCATAATGCGTATATTTTGAATAAAGATAAGCTTTTGGAAACAAAATTTGAGTCACAATTGAAGTTGACAAACACCACGACATAAATCAAACAGTAGGTGAGACTGGACAAACGTGTCGTTCATTTTGAGTGATGACCAGATGTGTTCGTCCTACCATTAAGCCTGATGGCAAAACGAAGAGCAAGGATTACTGTGTAAACAACCAAAATTATGAAACGTGTCGGGGAGACTCCAACGATGAGAAAATGTCAGTGTAACAATTTGGAAGCCTAAACCACCAGCTGCCAAAGACAACGATGGTAGCCATATTTAAGTTTCCTGAAACTATGAAAAAACTGGACCTAATGCGTGTGTGAGCTCCGTACATTTAACGCAGTTGGATTACATGCACAATAAATGAAAGAACCTACCTGAAATTCCAGCCACTGCACAGACTGCAAATATGATGAGTCGCAACATCGTTGGCTCTAACTCTGAAACAGACATTGTAAATAACCATAAAATACTGTCTTGTTTTCCTGGAAAACATCTCGACTGTGATGGTAACGTCGTTTATCATCGCGACCCGTGAAGATCCGGGTTAGAATATTGATCTTCAGTAACCCATGCTTGTCGTAAGAGGCGACTAACGGGATCGGGTGGTCAGGTTCGCTGACTTGGTTGACACATGTCATCGGTTCCCAATTGTGCTGACTTATGCTCATTGATGTTGATCACTGAATTGTCTGGTCCAGACTCCATTATTTGGCGTTAAACAACAAACCAACGTTGATCCTCGCGACAACGCAACTCTTGTCTCTTCTGGGGCACGTCTTCAACAATCTCTGTAATACACCGTGCAGAGTTGCGTCATAATCCTGTGATGGTTGGTTCGATGTCTTGTGATGGCAATAAACCACTTTGTTTTATCAGATCATCATGCTCTTTAATGTGGTTCGTGGATGTCATCGTATAACAATTGAGTAGATCGACGCTCATTGCATCAATCATTGGATTGTCTGAACCAGACTCGATTGCATACACAGTCCACCATCCAAGAACTGGGATATTGGTAACTGCGGCGGAAACATCAAACAAATAAATGCGCATTACCTGAACTGTACACGCACCTAAACTCTAGCACAACTCAAGCACAAAGTTAAAATATCATGAACATTATTATAGAAGCGTGACTACTTTACCAACAGTTGGGAGTGAGACGGTAGCTACCAGCACTGCCTGCTCAGTGACGAGAACAGACAATTGTGTCTTATATAGAACAGGTTAAGACTATTTAACGACGTAGCCACTGTATTTACATCATACACAGTGTAAGGGTGACTACCTATCTGCTACCTAATCCATAAATTATACAGTCATGCATTATTCAGAGTGCAGTTGAATATTAATAATCCTTAATAGAGGACACTCGAAGGTCGTTTATCACTTGTAAAACCAAATGATCACTTTAGTATAACTGGAATCAAAATGGATATATGACACATACACCATTGAATGAAAAATATACAAATATGCAATCTTGCAGGATTCGGCGTCAGTTGTAACACACATCCAATAGTTGTTTTAGGGTGAAGAGTTCTGAAAAGTGGTTGAGCATTCTACTGAAGATTTGTCCATGGATATGTCGTCGTGTAGGATTGGGTGTGTCAACGTGTGTGTCATTGTGTTCGTGAGAGAGAGGGACAGAGAGGGGGGGGGGGGGCAGAGAGAGAGAGAGAGAGAGACAGAGTGAGAGGGGGGCACAGAGACAGAGACAGAGAGAGAGGGGGCAGAGACAGAGAGACAGAGGGGGGAGGGAGAGCGCGTGAGGGAGAATGAGAGAGAGAGTGAGAGAGTGGGAGAAAGTGAGAGAGTAAGACAGAGAGTGAGAGAGAAAGGGGAGAGAGAGAGTGAGAGAGAGAGGAGGGAGGGAACTAGGGTCAAGCCGGTCAAGGAGGTTCAAACCACTCTAGGGACCAATGCACAACCTCAGATCACTCACTATCGACTCGGAACACTCTACCCTCGAGATCCTAACTTAAATCACGTGTGTATTCACGTTCAAGCCTAACATGGGAGGGTATGAGGGGTTTGTGCTTGGCGTCTTGCTTCATTGACATTACCAAGCCGAGGACGTTCTAGAATATGTTTTTCTGACATTAACCCCAGCTAAAAGGGGATACTAATGGCAGCTCATGAATATGCCACAACATGTTTCTACCAAGCCCCACCATACTGCCCCCATGAAGTAGATAACACAATCATAGATTACTTCTCTACCGTTCACAATAACACCCTTCCCCAGTTATTAAATACGGACAAAACGGAGCAGCCTTTTACCGAATGAACAATTAAACATCATATGGAGGCTCTCGAAGTAAATCCGAAAAATGGATAAATAAGATGAACATGTTGTATGTGATTGTGTTACGTCAGTACGTGTTATTGGTTATTGTGAAAGGTAGAATGCACAAACCGAACATGTTGTATGGGCTTGTGTTACGTCAGTACGTGTTACTGGTTATTGTGAAAGGTAGAATGCACAAAACGAACATGTTGTATGTGATTGTGTTACGTCAGTACGTGTTATTGGTTATTGTGAAAGGTAGAATGCACAAACCGAACATGAAGAAACTGTTTGTATGTCCCTCGGGAGCTTTCATCAAATGTCAGGCTGACCAAAATGACCATTATTCTTTCTCCCGTTATATTTCTTCTCACTGTAGTGATCGGGCCACCTGCAAACTTGATCTTGAGTGAGAACAAGCTACAATGTAGGGCCAGCATGATAACTGTGGAATACATCTGCCCAACCCAGACATCAGTCCTATCAACTTCTACGGGATTACGCTTCCTCAACATCCACTCACAACGATATATACAACGATATATACATACAACGATATATACAACGATATACACAAGGATATACACAACGATATATACAACGATATATACAACGATATACACAACGATATATACATACAACGATATATACTACGGTATACACAACGATATATACAAGCAATAATCCCTCGATAAAGGGTTGTATTTTTATTCATAGACAACACATGAAGCAAGTTGAATTGATGTGGATTCTGAAAACACACTAGAGTGGTGATGATCTGGTGATGGACATGACCTTGGACACAGTACCACTAGAGAGATAGGCACAAGAGAGGCGACCTTTATGTTTATATTCACCCTAGAATGAGGACGACCTTATACAGTATTATAAACATGAACATATCCCGTCTTTAGTAGAGGACAAATTCTGTGGGTTTTTAATTTTCATTTATTGGAAATTGACTAACCGCCGTTGGGGTATGTTTATTATTTCTGGTTGGAATAGGTTCCCATGTAACCTAATATATCGGATAGTAAATTTTCCTGGATCCTTGGCTGACTGCGAGACGTGACAGCCAGTGGGGCATGTATATGGTTCTGAATAGGTTACCAATCAGTCCAATGTTCAACTGGGTGGTTTCATTGGCTGTGATGGTAAACAAGGGGGAAATATAACAAATGCTGTTGGCAAACTCGGAAAAGCAAACATTTGTGGGGTCCTTGATGTCTTTATAGCATATTTATTTTAAACTGTAACAGGGGTTGGCAGCAAAGTTCCACGCCCCTTCAGACAACTGGTAGACACTGGTACACTAAGTCATGGTAGCACTCTCCAGGAATTCTTCACTTGGAGATACATTTTTAAGTCATTCTTCAGTATCTATGATGGGACTTATTGCAGCTGAAATGAAATTATATTTTAATTGTCTATTAATGAAAACGCGACCCTTAATCGGAAATTTACAAATGTACAATGAAAGGTGCACACCTGGTAGAAAGTAGGTTAGAATACGTTTTCAGCAAGTTTAACGCCATTATTATTACCATTGTTTAAAATGGGTTACAAGGGAACAAACTACTTTCAAATAATGGAGGTAAAACAGTTATATGTTTTAAGCATTGTGATTCAATAGAGTTCGAAGCACAAATGTGGATGACTTACATGCAAATGTACACGTCGGTTTGTGTATTGGAATGTCATATCAATTAGGGTTGCCTTGAACGGAACTGCATGTACATAAACAATATGGCGTGTGTCAGACAGAGCCGATGAACGTACACATAGATGATTACAGTTGACTCAGTGATAGAGAATTACATGTACATATATATAGCGACATTATGTTAAACAAAACCTATTACAGATATCAACTCTCACAAGCACGTCTTGGGTTTCCTCTCTAATGGTAGTTGTTATCATATGTTTATCACGGGTTGAATGACATATATTGTTTTCTGGAATAGGTTCTGCGGATTTCCATAGTGGCTTTCAAGTGTCATCAAGTTTGTCTGGCCTTTATGTTAAGTTTGACAAAGCCATTAGTAACATAATTTTTATATAGAGAGAATGTCCTAGATTCACGAACTGGGCATATGTGACCTAGGCTCATGAACTTTTAGCAAATAATGCCACATGTGAGACAAGTACAGAAGACATTTGCCAAACCAACGCATCAGTACAACCATCTTTTAACGAGACTCCACGTTCAACATTATTCAACACGACAAACCAATGCTTCATTCCATGGGGTGTTACGCTAAACGTGTTGACTAGTGTGGCTAGAGATTCATGGCTATCGTTAAGGTTTCAAGTCAGTCAAAAATGAAAATAAATATCATCTGTGGTTGAGTGAGAATTGAATATATGAAATACTTATGACTTCCTACTAGATAACATCTATGTGTTGAAATATTCGGGTCATGAATTCCTGCATTTCAATAAAATAAAGGTCTTCTCGGGCAATAAGCCAGCTACCTGCTTCCACATGACTCCATGATTTAATATAGCCTTTAACTGACTGGCAAATTCATGCGCGGCCAATATGTTCAATAGACTTTTATCTTCTGGGCAAGTGCAATGAGGTTATATAATTATATTAGTGAAAAGGTGTGCTGTGTGTTTATGGACAGCAAAATGTCCATGCTTTGATATTCGACTCTCCAAAAGACAATAGTCACAATAAAATAGCCGAGGAACTTCTTTCCTATATCCGATGCAATTTGCTCATTTTTTTTCCAGGTGTGCAGTTGTCTAGAAGGTGCACCGTATCCCATTATGTCAATCACTGGAGTGTCTTCCCAGACACAGCTATTTACAAATACAGCTGAACATTTGAGTCGTGAAACAAACATACACACAAATGGTCATGATAGAGAAAGAATTGTACAACTCCGCTAGCGAGCAGAGAATTCCAACGGATGTGAAAAAGGTTTTGTGCTTTACACAAAGAGAGCCACATCTTGAAAGAGATTATACGTACGCTTCAAGAAATGGAGACCATTTTCCTTTCTTCTGAAAGCTAGTTCTTCGAAGGTATTTTACGTATGCTTCAGTGCTTGTTAGTGTGTAAGTGAGTTTGAGCAATATTCCAACAATATCTTGACGGGGGACACCGGAAATGGGCTTCACACATTGTACTCATGTGGGGGATCGAACCCTGGTCTTCGGCGTGACGAGCCAATGCTTTAACCACTAGGCTACCCAACCGCCCGCTTTATAGATGCATGTTAAGGAAAACAGACCCAAAGTGGTATATATCTCCCAGTGACGTCATAGGTAAAGGAGGTGTGTGTGTGCGTGTGTGTGTGCCTGTGTGCGTGCGTGCGTTTGTGCGTGTATGTGCGTAGTGCCAGCCCACTGATGTATCACATGATGGCCTCAGTCGGACAAGGGAAACCTCCTCCGAGTCAACTCGTTCATGTCTTCGCCAGACAGGGGAACAACAAGTAGCACGCTTTAACGTCTGTTACTGTGACGTGACTGGTGTTCGAACTACCAACCTTCCACTGTACGGTTACTGCTGCTGTTTTCACTCGACCACACATCTGGTCCTCCTTTAAGGAAATTCTGTCATAACTGATGGTACATGTTTTCCATTTTAAATTTAACTTTAGAATGAATATGAATAACACGGCATAGATGATGTCTTTCTAACTCTGATTGATTTCATTGCGTTTTTAACTTTCTTTTTGTTTTACGTGCCTAAAAGTAGAAACTATACAATGGCGGTTTTGCAGACTTACACTCATCGATTAAGGATTGGCGTCTGGACGTCTTTCATTACAATGAAGGTATTTTCATAGATTCACTATGTGATTTAGAAACTGGCTAACTGCATCATCTAGACCTATGTCAAAACAACTGGCTAAACTATGGGAAAGGGCATTCACTATGTGTATCTCTGTGTGCCTGTCTGTCATGTGTGC